TATATATATATATATATATAATATTGAGATATCCTATTGGAATATCCCAGATGTTAAGATATTGGGATATCTGCGGAATCACATTTGGAAATCTAGATCAATTTGAGACATTCTCAAGATAAAGTATCTTGTGTGGGCAATGAATATTTGTTCATTCTGTTTGCCTATTTTTTCGATGGGCGCAATGACGTATCCATTAATCATATTTACCAATATCAAGGCTATATTCTATGAATCGAAAAGATTTCATGGCGTAAAATTTATCTCTTAATCTTGTCAACTTCATCGACCGTTTGACATGAATGTCTATTTAGGGTCTTGTGTCCACGATGCTAGATCTCGATAATGTCCATATAAATATCCATAAATGTCCATATTTATAAATAAATAAATATATATATACTCAAACAGTACACGATATCCCATGGATATTCTGTAGATATCCTGTGAATGTTCTAGGATAACGGAACGTCCTCAGGACATCCTTAGGAGTCCCTAGGAGATCTGTGCTGTCTGGGTAGGTATTTATCGTAGAACAAATGAAGATTAACCTTGTCTTTAAGAAGTCTTTTAGAAATTTGTACTATCTTTTTAATTTCCATCACATTAATGAAGTTCAAATAGCAGTTATAAATTATACAGAAAAATATGATTTTTCAATAATAAAAAATTAAATTTTAGTTCCGAAAAAAATAATTGTGAAAAAAATCTTCGATCGCTTATTATTGAAATGTTGTCATTAAAATATGGAACGGTCTTATGATTTAATGTAATCTTTTTATTCAATTCTTAATGTTTTTCTTTATTCAATTCTTTTGTGCGTTATTTTTGCATGTCATATACATAATATTAAAAATGATTATTGTACTCTGAATAAAGTCACAAGCTTTGAAAAACACTTCCAGGTTTTGTTGAATAAATTACAGATATATGTATGTGTATATGTGTGTATAGTTTTGTTGAATAAATTACAGATGTGTGTATGTGTGTGCACAAGTTTATCCAGGTCAGAACTTCAAACGCGTGTATGCATGTCGACGATATATTTTATATTATAATCAACTTCCTTCTAATTCTCTTACAGACTGATGCATAAATAAAGTAATAGAAAAAATAAGAAATAATATTTTTATATTTGTAATTTTGTAATAATGTTTTAAACAAAATTTGTGGAGTTCCCTCTTTCAAGAAATGACGATAACTTAAACTTTTTGAAATACTAATCCCTATTTTATTTTCAGAAAGTACATATTACGTCATGTTGTTGTCCTCTCGAAATCTTACTTTTTTCGTTTCAAACATTCTCTCAAAAATACTTTGTTTTCGAAATAATTCACTATATAAAGTGTCTCAGTCCTCGTGACTTTAATTTTACTGAAAGGTTGTCTGATCAATTTCAAGTTAACTTTTTTTTAATGAAAAGGTCAAAGTACCAATAGTTTCCGAGATACAAATGATCGAAAAAATAGAGCTTTTCACAAGTTAGGCTTCGGGCGACCAAATGGACTACAAATTATTTTCTCCGATTTATTTCAAAAGGATTTTAACTTAACAGAATTTTAATTTGAGACTTGGCTAAAAAGATATGTTAAAGAAAAGTTGTCATAAATAATGACCTTTCTCGATATTTTCGTTAAGAGAAAATTAACTTTAAATTGCTATGAGAATCTCTCTCGGTAATTATATCTCAACTTCATTTTAAATTAATATTTATCAATTAGATAGTGAAATGAATATAGAAATACGTAATTTTGTTCGATAAATAATAAATTTATAAGAGTAATCCTCTTGATACGCCTCTAAAAATACGACACTTAATCGGACCAATTAAGTTAATCGGAAGTTGTGAAACTGGTCCTTAGCGATATAACTAAGTAATCTTTCTCTCTCTCTCTCTCTCTCTCTCTCTCTCTCGCTGTTTTTTTTAAAGACACTTCCAAGAGCAAAAATGATTCACTCGTAATGTAAAAACACTTAAAAAGCAAAAAATCTCGAATATTTACGATATGACTATATTAACCCTTTGCACTCGAAGTTTTTTTTCATTCATATTACCAGCAACTCGACGCAATTTCAGTGGAAAGATCATATTCACATATAAGTAAATGATATGCGCATTAAAAGAAAAGTCATTGTTGTATGTTGTTTTTTTAATTTTATTAATTTGTTAATAGTTGTTAATAGTTTGTTTTAAGTTTGAAGACAAATTTTAAATGGCTCCGCTCCGGAGCCCTCGAGTGCAAAGGGTTAATTCATAGCATCAACATGAAATGCATATTCCTTTTAAACGTAATAACCGCATCGAAAAGGTCAACTTGTTCTTTTCTTTGAATTATTAATTAAGTGACGCTATCGGTTTTTTATGATTTAATTCTGCATTATAATTGTACATTTCATATTATTTATTTAATAATGCGCGCGATGTATAAAATTAATAATGCAGACGTATAACGCAGGGAGTATAAAAAAAGAATTTTTTTTTAAATTTTTTCTTCTTAAGCAGCATTCTATCAGCCTTGAATAATCAATCATCAAAACGCGCGCGATATATAAAATTAATAATGCAGTCGTATAACGCAGGAAATATAAAAAAAGCATATTTTTTAAAATCTTTTCTTTTTAAGCAGCATTCCATCAGCCTTGAATAATCAAACAACGATATAAGATAATTTAAAAATCGTCAAAACTAACGTCGTTGTATTACCGAAAGATTGAATGGACCATCTTTTGACGGATGATTGATGAATTCGGCCGTCTTACAATACACTTTCCTTTGAGTCATCTTCTTCGCCGTTGTTTTGCATTTCTAAATAAACCTGGTGACATTTTTATTCTCTAGGACGAGTTAGGATTTATGGATGATGGCTCGACCTTCGTTACATGTCCGTGATTGAAATTATGTCTTTAAGAAATTAACATAATGATAAATCAAGGATCACAAGAACAGTGGCACCAATGGTCATTAATGACGAGCATACGTGCAACACAGAGTTTTTATTGTAAATGTGTAAAATTGGTTTAATTCATATATTATTTAACGATGTTACAAAAGAGCTGCATCCAACAGCACGTGTCAAACCAAACGGTTAAATTATAACATAGAAATAACCAGAACAAATAGTGCGAGTGACTCGCGATCAACCATAACGCATCATAAGGACGGCGACTCTTACAAAGTAGCCGGTGGATCCAATAATTTGTCATAACTTTTAATATTCATGCGGCCGACACGGTAACTTATTCACGAAACAGATATTTTTCACGCCATTCAAATGATAAGTATTCGAAAAATGATTGTTATACCAAAGCGTCGTAATGACCTACAGGTTGCTAATGATTATCGAGCGCAGTTATTCTAATGAAAATAAACAAATACTCAGTACTCATGAATAACAGACCTTTTTCTTTCACAAATTAGAAAGGGAGCAATAAAAAGTATATATAAATTCAGTACAAAGTACATACAAGTACGAAATAAATACTCTGACGATTCCTCCCACAATATGTGTGACGTAAAAAATTGCTTGTTCACACCTTCCTCGAATCCTCTTTAGAATTCAAGAAAGCATCCCAGTGAACATCAAGTAACAGTAATATAAATAATTAAATAATATAACATCGACGTTATAATTTCTCGCTAAACGATATAAATGCAATATAACACACGTGTATGTAACAGTTACATTATTAAGTGGGAAATTATAACATTGATGTTATGTTACTGTTAATTGAGGTTTACTGGTATTATATTCGTGGTTATAATATTTTAGAAATAATGCAAATATGGAATGCGTGAAGATTGCGAATGCTCGAGTGTTTGGGTCATCAAAAAAACTTGTCAACGGGAAAAAACATCTCAAGGAGAAAGAGAAGAAATGATTACTGTTGCGGAAGACTTATGACACTAGAATTGCAGATTGAGAATGAGACATTTGCATAAGGATAAGAAGTAAGAAATTCTGACGCAAAACTTGGAACGCGTTTTTCTCACGACAACTTTTTCGAGTTTGTGACGGTAATTTCTCGAAAACTATTCGACAGATTTTGTTGAAATTATTGAATATGAAGATCATCTCAGCAATGGAATACAGGGAATATCGATTGATTTTTACGCTTTTGTTTTATTAATATAACATTTTTTGTATTCAAATTTTTCGGGAAAATTTTTTTTCACTATATAATTCCTCTAATTATTAAAAAAACAAACATTCGGATCGATGTTCTCTTCGTCTTTCATTCCTGAGAAGACTTTTTTCATTTTTTATTTGAGTTGATTCAGCTAGCCAGTAGGATCGTCACTACATCAAGGCCTATTTCGCGTGCAAAGGTATACGAAGTATACGAAGAAATACTTTATAATACTCTATTAAATATGTCTACTAAATATTTAATGAATTATTTTTTTAACTTTTTTATATTTTTTAGAAAGTTGGAAGAATATACGATAAAATATTGTAAAGCTTATTTTTCTCTAATTAATACGTAGCTTTCAATCCAACTTCCAATATACAGGGTGAACCACATAACGTGATCAGCTCAGTTTATTCTGTTAGTGGACCGCTAAGATCATTCTTAAGCTCACCTTGAACCATGCTATACTAGACAAAAAAATTTTCAAGCGGTCCACTAACAACAAAATAAACTAAGTTGATCACGTTGCGTGGCTCACCCTGTAGACTACGTTTTTCCGAACGTGATTACGTCCAAAATGGCCTAATCTCTTAAGCATTAATAAATTCGAATCCGACATATCTCTGCATGGAAAAAATAATAATTTTGCTATTATAGCGCAATCATTGTTATTACTGCATATTCGTTGTAACGGAGATAAAATTTAGTTAGCATAACCAAGTTAACGAATTACTCATAATTAGAGCAGAAATAGTTTTGTTGCCAGGATAGAAAAATTTCTCTGATTCTGGGTGAATTTATCCTTACGACATGTTAATTTACCGTTAGAACAAAATAATATTATTTTTTCCTACATTCGTTAATCCATAAGTAAACGCGCGACTTTTTGAAGAATAAAACAATTGCTGTTTATAGCTGAGATTCTCGAGTGTTATTGACGCTACTTCGTTGAATCCAAGAATAAGTGATTCTTAAAGAGACAAAACGCCAATGTCGCGGACAAAAACGAAAAAAATGTTTGCCCATACGTCTGTGGGTCAGTTAGTTTGATCTTCGCCCATCCACTTACGAGTTAATTTGTTCTTACAGCAAGGTAATTTGTAAATTCAACAAAATAGCCCAACGAATGGCAGGTAGTACTCTTAACAAATTGTTTTGCTATCTACAAGGAAAAAAGAATTAGCTTCCACAACTAATTAACTGTCTGCATAGTACAACTGACATTTAGTTGCTATTATTACCGCGATTTTCCTGAGCGCATATAAGAAAAAAGAAGTAAAACGGTCTGCGATACATAAGAATGATATGCAGCTACAAGTCATTGTTCACAGGAAGCGTGTGTAAAAAATGAAACCAGGAAGGGTGACAGACATAAAGACACCGGCAATCCGCTCGATCCCGGCGGCTTTCGTCCTGTGTCCCTTTCACGAATTCGCAACATATTCAGCCGCGACTTCCAACCCGTGGTCATTCACGGTCATTGCGCGAACCGATATTCAGTCTCGCGCCGATGACGGATTACCTCTTTCAGCAGCTGCCGCTGCGTAAGATAGCGCGACGATTTTCGCTCCTCGTAAAAGACACGTCCAATAGTCAGTTAATTTAAAAGTCAATGGGAGCGCTCAGGCAATTCATTTAGGCGCATTTCGCGTCTTTGTCGCAGGAAGAACAAAAATGCGCGGGAGCAATCACTATCTGTCGAAATTCCTTCCGTCGCGAATAACAGTTCACGCAAAGGGATTCTCGCCAACCGGTTGCTGTCGGGATCAGCTGGGTGCTGACGCAAACCCTCCAGTTTTTAATATTCCTTAGTATACGTCATTATCAATCACGTGTAACGGCGAATCGGTGGAGTCACGTCAATCGTTCCGTCAAGGTTCGCTTGCATTTTCTTGAAAAAACTACTTTGTCACCTCGGGATCTGTTTTTTGTTGGACAATCTCCGGGGGAAGGGAGGAGGAGGTTCGCTGTAGTAAGTGATGTACGCATTACTACGAAGACCGTTCCCATTGAAAGCCTCTGAGGGTTCCATTTGCTAGAATTTCCAGCAAGATCAAGAGTTCACCGACGTGATCAAAGCATCTTTGTATTTCTTTATTTCAAATATTTAAAAAATATTACATCGAGTCCCCCACTTTCCTCTCTCTACTTATCTTTTTTTTTTAGTGTCGGTATTATCGATTTCATCGGAATTTGTGCGTCTTCATATTGTTGGACGCTTTTTGTTTCACAGCGAATCACGAAACCCACCTCACGATGACGCGAATCCACGATGACTCCTCTCGAATCTATTCAACAATATTTATAGTAATGAATGTCACGATCTTGAGTTATTATTTATTTCCTGTCGCGGGTCGTGTGACGGCCAATGTTTAAATTCCAGTTACATTGTCTATTATATCGATCTTGCGCGAAATCGCCGGTCATCATCCAGAACCATGGACAATTATTGAATTTTTGCACGAATGCCGGATCTTCAATAATTATATACAAAATAGAGACGGATAGTTCTATATATAGATAGATAGATCGTTATTGATAGTCTCATGTGCCGAATCGTGACAAATATTTATTTCGCAAATCCTCGCAGGAATAGTCGGTAAGTTGTTTATTAGTTGAGAACACGCGTGACGTTATTTTGACGTTGGCTCTGTCGTGAGATATTTTGTAAGAAGGAAAAACTTCCAAAAAAAAGAGACGGAAGTTAAACTCGCGACTCGGCTCAACAAGCACAAGAAAAAAAAAGCAACACGATAACATTTCATGTTTTTCGCTATTGAGAAAAATTGTAGTCGCGTAAAATACACGACGCATCCTTTCGTGAACGATGTAACCGTCTGTTTTTAAACGAATCTGCTGCGTTTTCCCTGCGTAAAGTAATTTATCTCCGTCGCAGAAAGTGTAATTCACGGTCTCTTACGGTAAAACTGATATTTCTTCTCGCAGCACCTGAGTGTTAGTAACATATATGACGTAAAAAGAACAGGAAAACAAGCGACACACTCGTTTAGCTCGGAATGCAGGCCTCACGTCACCCTCAACGGCTGGCCGGATTTTTTTAACAGTATCATTCGGGGATTACCTATGTCCATGGGCAGTCTTGGTTTTCTTCCTTTTGCGCTGATCCCTTCGAAGGTAGAGAAAGTTTTGTCCATAAGGATGCGCTCGTTCCTTCGGTCGTACGACGATGCGATAATAGGACCAAACCTGTTGGACTTTCCTCGTACGGTAATTCGCAACTTGCGACATGCCATAAGCGGTATTTTCAAAACGGCCAGGACCTAATGCGGCGTAACGTTCTTTCAATTAAAGGAGGCCGAATATTAAGCTGAAGGCGTAAAACGGGAGAGTACAAAAATAACAGTAAATATATATTGACTGATAATTCAACCCGGTTGAATCATATTTTATGTCAGAAAAATGATAAATTCATGAACGAGTGGCCCTGTGGAAGAAAGAAAGATAATTATCTAGCTATTATCTGTCCACTAGGAAAAGTGAGTGTTACATTATTGGCTAGTATAGCGACGTTAGACACAAATTTGCTACTTTGTGGCTGAACATCTTCGAAGTTCAATTTCCATTAAAATAATGCTAATATCACGGACTGCAGTTCGATTCATGCTTATAACGTTGTAAACGCCATTCTGTCTTTTTTTGAGCGTGTAAATAACAATAAATATAAAATGATGCTTACAGCGCTGTAAACGTGGATAAGACCACAGCCATGGTCTGTTCTTATATTTATGATCATCTCCAGATGCTCCATAGCCAATGAAACGATCCGTTCGTTTCAGCATCCGAAGATGAACTTAGAAGACGATCTTAACCATTTGTTGGCACGCTTATCTTTCGCTGATTAATTTGACACGTTGGGTCTGTGAGACTCAGTAACTTTTCTGACATGCTCTTATTTAAATATTATTATTTAAATATTTATAAATGCGCTCACGTGTCCGGTGCCAAGATATTATAGTTCATATTATGATTTTAAATATATAAAAAAGGTAAATTTGTGAAAACATTCTCCCAATCATTATTTTTGATCATTTATAAGATATAAAAGAAGATAATGTATTGATTCTACACAGAAAGAGGTTAGAGATTTTGCATATTAAAAGAAAGAAATGTATGTTTATACATACGGTAATTCAAGATTCAGCAACTGCAAGATCTTAATATTTCGCTTCAGTCGATCTTAATAATTCGTATACTAATTAACGAAAGTATTTTGTAATTCGCGAGTACCTAATTAGGGTTAAATACAAGAACGGACTATGAGCTCCCGGCTCAGTCGTTCTACTAAGACGCACCAGATCGGATTTATCATAAATATCTGTTAGCCGTCCTATCATTCGTATCCGAGAAACAAACCGTCTCATGAATCATCGGCGAAAGGACGCGCAAATCTCGCGAACTATTCTTCCGGCTGCTTTTTTTGTTCCGACGTACATTATTTCTCAAAATTATGACGATAAATGAAAAGATTTGCATAGTCTAGTTATTTTTTCCAAGTGTAGCAACAAGATGACGTTCACTAAGTGCGCTGCCAGCAGCGTCGCTTGACCCTCACACGACGACAATTACAGAATTATCAATGCATGACCGAACGAGATGTTGTAGTCGTACGACTGGTGCAGCCGGAGGCTGTACTGGACCGAAGAGGAGGGTCGTCTGGTTGGGGGGTTACTCCGGCCAGCGACGGTATAAAGGAGACCGCACATAGTCTTGTACGCATTAATATACGGTCGAGAAAGAAGGAAAGTGCGTGTCAACAGTAGCAGTCGCCCGCTGAAAGACACGCACGATCGGACGGCGCATTTAAATTCCCCTTTATCCGAAAATTTGGGTTTCAAAGTCCTCGAGATACGAGCCGCGCGTTCTCGTCAGTTATAACTGTGTGTTCCGCTTTCGTTTGGCTAAACGTACCTCCTTCGAGTCCAGTTTTACAAGAATAAAAAGTGAGCGAATAAAAGTGATTTCGATCTCGAGGGCGCGAGAGCGACGTCTCGTCGCAGTTTGGGTCTCCTTTTTTGCAGGATTCTCGCCAGCCAAAAGCTGCGATCCGCCACAGCGAACGACAGGTGCTTAATTTTGTAACTCCGGGTACTTATGCGATGAGAAAAATAGATTATAGTGTCGAAATGTGTCGAACTTTTTTTATCTCTGTCTACTTCTCTGCCCGTATAAAAACACATTTTATAGACTCTCTACGCGCGAATAGAAAAAATATATAAATTTTTATTTATGTATTTTTAGATAATATATAAAGATATATCTCAAACCGTTATTCGTGTTTGTAAAATAGAGAGACTCGATCGATCATTTTATTAGTTTATATTTCATTATTACATTTCATTATTCGCATTGATTCGATTAATTATATGATCATTTCTTGTAATTTATCGCTTTTTTTTTACTTGATGCTCCTGACTGAAATTCCTTTTAATAATCTTTTACGACGACGTATATTATTATGATTTTTACACGACAGGACTTTTCTTCGAAGAAAATAATTTTAAAGAACTTTCATTGCTTTTCTATTTTAATTGCAAGACGTGTTACAATCACAAATTTAGAAAATAAAATTAATTAATTTTAACTCGTTATTTTTTAATTTAATTCTATTATTTAAATTTAACTTTGTTACATTAATTAAAAGAGAAGTTATATTACTTTATTCATACAGTTAATTTATTTATGTTATTTAGTTAAGCAGAAATTAAATCATCTCATATTAAAATAAAGAAAACGTTTATAGAAGGATTCTCGATATTAACAAACACGCGCGCATAGATCTATGTATCTCGGATGTTACTCAATTTTTACACAACAGGCGTTCGCATCGAATCGTATTTGAAATCGCACGTACAAAAATGCGGTAGGAATTTTTATCGGAACGCTGCTAATGAAATGGGACGGTACATTTTATTCTCGTTATTCATAATTATATGTAAGTACGTTTTTATTACAATTTTTCTCGACCACCCTCCATTATACGCGTTAGAAAATATTGATGATGTTCGGGTGATGTCGTTTCGGATTATTTTCTTAAAAATAAGACAATCTCTTTCAAAACAACTCCAATTACACTGTAACATATAAACTCCGATTACATTCCAATTGCTCAAAAGTCATAATGTTATGATAAACTTTGATAAGAGAATAGAATCGTAGTTGCGTGATATCAGCATAATTGACATGGTGAAATACATTATAAATCTAAGTATGTAATTTTACATATCACTTTTCACGCAATTGTACGCACTTTTTACGCATTTGTACATTAATACTATAATTTTGCACACAGAAGTGCATAAAAATTATACGCTCGGATTTGCCGTGTAATTTTTATACACTTACGTGTGCAAAATTATACTAGTAACACATAAATTACAAATACGTAAAAAAGTAATTACATATAGTGTATAAAATTACACATATGGATTTGCAGTGTATGTAATACAAAGTTTAAAATCGATTCCTGTAATGGTAAAGAATTTTAAAGTGGCGAAGAAATGTCAACCAAGTCGAGGATTTCGTGTATAGGTGAATTCTTAAGTCGGCTCAGCATAACGGTTACGCAGGCCACGCGTTAAGATTTTTTACTCATAAAGTTATTAGTCGGATATACGTTGAGCATTGAAACGAAACGAAGTGAAATTGAAATGATGTAATTTAGGTGCGAGAGAACTTGTAAGTGATATCCGGTATCGTAAAACACTGTTAATCACTATCATATTACGAATCATTTTCTAAAATTTTCAATTAAAAACTTTTATTATTCTTTTGTTAGTATTTCTTAATTTTTGGATTTTGTCAATTTAAGTGTAATTTTGAATTGCAATTCTTTTAATATAAAATTAATTAATATTTCATGATTTACATTCACAGCTCATTTTTAGCAGTGAAAATGCCCACGCAACTGTAAACGTGTGGAAGCCGTATGGACGTCCGTTCGGAACAGAATTAGTTTCGCAATTTAATCGCAGAGATTAATCCGTTTCATTTCTCCTTATATATACCTGTAGCGTTTACATAAACTTGATATTTGTCACTTTCGAAAGATCTAGACCAGCTTTTCCGGCCGGTTTTGACTGTAACGTGTAAATCAGATTCTTGACACGATTATTTCGCATCGGTATTTCAGACACTATCTTTATACGCGAGTAAAGCCACTTAAAAATCAATCGTGAAAGTAACTTCGGACTAGGACGCATTTTGCGCATAAGTGTTAAGTATTAATATTATAATTTTAAAGGCTTGGAAAGATGATTTTTTTATTTTATTTACTGCGGTTTTTACGGTTTCCTTTTGCAAAAAAAAATTGAAGAAAGCGGTTTTTCAACTATAATTAATTATAACTATAATTAATACAAATCAACCAACTTGTAAAGTAGCGATAACTGAAATTCAGATAACACGCGAGATTCACCAACGGTCTGTACGCGAGTATGAAAATGTTTGAGATAACGCAAAGATCTGGATAGTCTACGAACGAATCAAGTATATGAATAACACATATAATGCCTACTAGAAACTTTGATATTTAAATAACTATTTCATTTCTTATAAATATTCTATTTCATATTTAGAAATAGAAACCAATGTATTCTCAAACGATGTAAAGGAATATATAATTAAAATCGTGAAGTAATTGCTGGTTCGAGCTATGAAAATTGATATCTCTATTTTAGATGATAAACTCTTATTGAATAACAACAGTAAAAAGTTACACGAGCAAAAATGATAAGCGGAATAAATACAAACGATTTTTTTACAAATATAATCGGTCATAAGTAATGGGAGGGAGTCGCCTGTGAGAATAAAACCGTGAACATTTACGTAACTGATTATAAACTTCAAGACGTCAAACAAATTATCATCTGTATTTCTGATATTATGTCCGACGGAAGTGTTTCTTATTACCGAGCTATTGTTTGCAATAACATATTTTATTAATGATCGTATATTTTTATACTGAATTGATGCAAATATCACTACGTAATAGAAAATAATCGAGATTATTAAAGTCGCATTTATCGCAAATAATATACAGGGTATCCGAAACCTTTCCGCCAAGCACTAGTGTGAAAGTAGGATAGATTAAACTGAGCAGAAAAGTCATGCGGTTATATCAAATACGTCGTAATTATGTCGTAAGCGTATTTTATTGAGTAAATTACGTCACATATTTTTTTACTGCGTATAGTAACGATGGTTTTAAAAGCTCGAAAAAAATCCAGTTTTGTCCATTTTTCTGCGTTTCTTTTGCGGTTTTCTTCCGCGATAAACATGAAAGAAAGCATTTCTTTCCATTTTCTCGCATTATTTTCAATTTCTTTCTGCGGAAACACTGAAAAAAGCAATTTTTTTAAACCATGATAGTAACTCGTTTCTCTATTAAATATTTATCGTAAGGAAAATAAGTTCCTAGCTAACAAGATGACATCAATGTCATATTAATAATGTTTTCTTGACATTATGCAAACGTTATAAATCATCAGCAGTTCTACTGGCAGAAAAATCAGTTCTGTTGCTAAAAATCAATATCAAAATTAATTAATTTTTTCTGTGAAGGAAAATATTTACTTTACTATATATTTACTAATTATTTTTGCAGACATGCGTCTGCTTAAATTTACAGCAGAGAATATCTACAGAAATGTTTATAATTAAGATAGATAGACGAAGAGAACTGCCTTAATGTTTGTGAACAAGTTATGATAATTGCATAATATCTATCTCGTCAATCGTTCTTGCTACATTCATTTACATTTCTCTGTTTTTAGATATGGCCATTCGAATTTTTAACATGTGATATAATGTGTTTTAACGAATCTTAGCAAATTAGTGATCCATCGCAAATTTTATTAGGCAAATTTTAATTAGGCAAACTTTCCAAATATCGATTTACATAAAATCTTGTTTATTTGATTATTCAGTTCTCACCACGATAAGAGATGTACGAAAAATAATCCAGTAATGAACCTTAAATTAGCATGAACCTTAAATCAATCTTTTAAAATATTGATTTTACATGGATTTTATGAACATTTTGACATAATATTTTATAAATGTTTTTAAACTGCTACTTGATAATATTATATTTTTAAATATTAAATTTTTTAATATTAAATATTAAATATTAAATAAAAAATGTTTAAATATTTAACAATTATAATGTAGAAACATTATTTTTAATGTTTCGGTCAAATATTGTCAATAATAAAAACTACATTAAGAACTACATATTTGAAAACGTTACATGTTACAAAATATCATTGCAATAACGTTGTGTTAACGATTTATTTATGTTTACTAAAAACATAACTAATATAAATGAAATATGGAGGAATGTTAATTTAAACAGAAGCGACTATGTATCAATAACTCTTTTGGACAGTTCCGATACATATCTTTCATATATTCATATCTCGATCATAATTTATCTTGCATGACATAATCGGACATCTTCCTCGCGTGAGTCAGTTTGTTTTCACGGACGCGGAAAAGTGTCCGTGGAAAAGTGGCTGCGGAGTTTACCGGGAAGGGAACGAGCGTCCTGTGACATACAGATAAGAATAATATGCTAATAGAGTCGACAAACTCGCGTTGAACGGCGTTTAACTGTCGACGTTTGACTCTACGAGCACTTGATATCGCGCGGTCGTATGTCCACGCGTCTTCAACCGTGAATAAGATCGAAGCTCGAGACCGAGATCTATTCGATAATCGATCTATAACAATAATCGCACGTGCGATATTGCGATTAGTAATTTTCACGCGGAGATAACTCTTTATTCCGAGGATTTCTCAATGCGGCTGATCGGCTGAAAAAATAAACGGGGAGCGTTAAATTATCGGCCGGTAGCAACATTAAACACAAATTTACCACCTCGTGGCCAAACATCCGCGGAGATTCGATTTCTGCTGGAGGAAATGGCCTCTTCTTGCGTGAAATTTGAAATTTCGATTATCGATCTTTTAGATCTCTCAACTGTGACGTCATTAATTTACATAATAACCAGATTATTTTGTATTCGTTTCCAGAACTCTGAAGTCAAGGCGACCAGACGAGGAAAACTGACGTGCAAGCGAGAGTAATCAGGTCGCAGCCATGAAAACCGCGCTCACGCTGCAGCAATTTAAAAGTGAGTAATTCCTGATTTACAAACTGAGAGCACATGCGCCTAATTGCCTTGCGACAATAATTATCCGCGAGACGTCATCAGATTGCGAAACGTTTTCCGAGTACTTGACTTATACCTACCTTTGAACTATATAATTTATATACATTACTAATATATATATTTAAATATTTATTACACATTCGCCAAATTTAACTCTCACTTCTAACAGCTGAATTAGCAATCTCGTGTGGGCAGAACATGTTACACTTCTTATGCAGCTCGTTATATTATAAAACGTGACGGATATCGTTCGCACAGAGATGATCTAAGAAATAATTAAAATGAACGACTTTTTTCTAATTATATAAAATGTATAAATTAAATTTGCACTGCGCTCTTCGCAAATGTTTCGCCGTCAGAACACAGCATCGGGATGAACCCAAGTGGAAATTTTAGTCCCACATTAAGTCTAGTTTTACAGTTTTCAGTCCTAGTAGTTCTATATAAAGTCTTCAAAAGACTTTTATCATACTCCTTTGATGCTACATGAAATGAAAAGTTATTGCCGTTTTCTCCACTTGCTGACTTAATGTAGAACTAAAATTTAGATTCTGAAAGTCTAAATTCCGAAATTTTACACAACATTAAAAGAACACCTTTTCTTTTGACGCTACGAATGGGAACTTATTTCCATTATTTTCACTTGAAGGCTTAATGTTTAAATTAAAGAATTAAAAATTTTTATTTGGCAAGGCAATAAGAGAAAAAAAGATAAAAGCATACTTCGACAACGTGAGACGCGCAAGCGATTATTTACGCAACGGAGAAAGGAAAAACGGCCGACTCAAGTCGGATCCAGTTTTCTTCAGGCGAACGAGACGAAACGTTAATAAATCTTCTATAACAAGTTTTATTTACTACACGCTGCTCTACGCTGCTCTGAGAACTACCTGGCTTCCTGCAGTCGCGGATATTGCATAGTTCTATCTCGAAGAGTTTAGAGATAAATTCGCGTTAACTAATGGCCGTTTCAGTATCACAAAACTGCTCGAGAAGCCACGCGTTGTTACCCACATCAAACACATCTCTAAGTCACACTTTACATGATTAAAGTGTCTGGAATAGGCCATCCCCCGAAATGTATAGCTGGCATTTTAACGATGGGAATTCTCCGATTAGATCTCGGAGGATCATCGTCGTAAAAATTCGTCTTTTCCTTTTAACATGAGCAACTTTGAATAAAAAATGAGAGGTAATTTGTATTCGAATGGACATTACACTGAGAGAAAAATGTATGACATTTGGAATTATAATGCGGCATAGTCAAGGAAATCATAAATATATTGAAAATGACTGATAAATAAATAAATAAAATTTCAGGCAAGATGATCATTCGCCAACATGTTAAGAATAACATAATTAAAAAGAAATAATAAATTTCTATTCAGGAATATGAATAGAAATGTATGAATGGTTCTTTGTTCTAATATTATATATTATAGTATATTTTTACTAATACACTGTATTTTATATTATATTTTACTCTCATTTTAGTTTATGACAACCATGAAATATAGTTGCACGAATAAACGTCACAATTGTTACGACTATAAATTCGCTTTGCTTTATGTCAAAGTGAAATTACAATTATTCCACCCATATATTTTCTTCTCTCAGTGCGATTACGCATTTCATCTTGACGTTTTGTTTTTCAAGCGTCCGTAGTTGAAAAGCCCGTTCCAACCGACGAAAAGTCGAGGCTGCGGCACGTTCGGCGAAGCCGCCTGTAAAAAATTAAGTACAGGGATTCTGTGTAGGACTTCCTGCGAAATTCAAGATCACCTGGCGACAGCTTCGGCTGCGCGTGTTCGTGTGTGCGATCTCGCAAATAAATTCACGGGCAACCGGTGCGGGCGTGATCTTTCAAGGCCGAGTCCCTGAAAGGGCGTTAACCGTGAGTTATGGGGAGAGCGGTCGAATATTAAAAGACTCGAGAAAGGTCTGAACAAGGGCGCGGATCCTCTTTTATGTGCGCGAGGCAATCGACAACCTATCTCACAGCGGTCATCAACGTCACTCAACTCCTCGTTGATAGCACTGCTCGGTATCATTGTTGGGCCGCTGAATCGGAGATTTCGAACGAGCGCGACGACCTCGATTGGCTCCTCTCATTACTTAGCTGTAGATAATGTGGAATCCGAGTCAAGGTAAGCCGCTATCGCAGAGGTTATTCGCGCGAGACGCGTGATCTATGTTCCTTGATAACACCATATCCGGCGATCATATTACTTGGAGATCACAATGTGTCGAGTTGAATCCAATTGTTCCGGACAGACAGTGGATATTGGTAAATCAGGCGAAGAGATTCGAGAAGCTTCGCGAGGAGACGCGAGGAGTGATTTCTAAAATGTTCATCCTAAGAATCACGGATCTGCTCCGTTCTTGTTTCGGACGTCCCGTCGGAGAATCAAGGTGTACCTCGTTCGACTACGTCCATCAAAGAAATCAATCAATCAACTATTGTAAAATTCGTGAATTACCAAAATTAAGGAAGCCTCCGCTTTCCCGACTGTGAAATCTCCATTCGGGAATTTCAGGAAGGCGCGCAATTTCTCGGTTTCCTGGAACGGTGTGACAATCGCGACTTAGGGAGTCGTGTGCAGAAAGTGCGAGGGGATAACGCTTCAAAGTCCAAGGAATACGTTCCCCGGGGGGTTTTTCAAGTGTAAATTAAAAATACGCTTTAAAACGTGCTTCTCGGAAAGATAAGAATGAAAGGATGTTTGCGATAGGCCGTGACTCGTACGCGTGACCCCACGGATAGACATTTTTCCAAGGATACTCATTGCTTGGTAGACACGATCTCGCGTTCTCGCGCAGGCGAGGCTTTTCGGCGTTATATAATAATACGTTATTTAATAATAAACCTATCGATCGCGCGTCTCACTGGACTTTTCCCAAGTCCAATTTTTCCTGACCCGACTCACCCCGGTCACCTTGACAAATCACGAGAAGGTCGTCGTGTAACGCAAATGAGTTCCGTGCGTTTGTACAAGACGATGACGACGATGGTGCCGATTGCAATTTCCGCTCGATGAAAGATTCGCTCATCTCGCACGAGAGCGGGCGAAGTCGAAGGTGAATGACAGACCGGGCACAAACGTGCCGAAAGATATCGTTTCATATCGCGTGCGGAACGCGTGTTAAACGGAGATGCGTCAGAGATGTTCAATATTTTCCTCCGGGTCTCTCACACATTTCCGAGTGCCGGCGAGTACGTGCTAATGCCAGGCTCGAAATGTCCGTTGTGTTTGCTCCCCCATTATTTGACCGCGGAATTAAGAAGAACTATTAACACTAAACCTACCGACATTTCACGTATACCTAATCCTACCATGAGCGGTCAAATGACCGCTTTAAAAAAACATATGTATCTTAATATAGAAAGAGATTTTAGCCAATTGGATAGTAAACAAAATATTTTTCTGGTGCTACAATAAAAACCCGCTCCCCGCTTTTCTATTTAGAAAGTTTGATTTACCTTTATGCATTTTCAGCACATTTTTTACAAATTACAGCATTTTGTATTGCACATTTTCCACATACGTATTTTTTACATTTTATACAAATTTTGTTAGTCTTATTGACTTTACAATATCTTATTTGATAAGATTTCCGTCCAGAAGAATCTGTAGCTGTGTTTATTATTGTTTTTGATGAACATTCTTTGCTTAGCTGTCTCTCCTTCTGATATTCGGTCTCAAGCTCTTCTGCCAATTGAAATAAAAATTCTTGCCTCTATATTTCTTCACCCGTCGTTTCTTTATATAAAATCCAAGCATTTATCCCGGCTAAATCTAAGATATTGAAAAATACCTATAAAGGCCATCTTTGACATTTAGATTTTATACTATATTTTCTGGCCATTTGATCGGTTACATCTACACCGAATTTTGTGCTATTGTAAAATCTAATTGTCTCTGGTATACGGGTGTCACTTTTTTCAATTTCAACGGATGAATGCATTGAACTAAGTATCAATACTTTTTTATTGGGTTTAGCTTTATAAATTGAAAGAATAAAATCATTCGATTTGTATAATATTGTTGAGAAGCGTGTCATACTATCCTTTGCCTATCTCGCTAATTTTGGTAACTCTCTTTTATTTCTGCGGATAGTTCCAACAAGCGTAGTTTTTTTTCCAGAAGTTTACTCGCTAATGACGCGCTTGTAGAAAAATTGTCAGCTGTTATATTTCTCCCATGGCCCGTATATGGTTCTGCTAATTTCAAAGTTACAAACTCCCCAAATGGGACCGATGATTCTCTCCCTTCATCTTTTCCCAAATATGGAAAGCCGTTTACTATATATACTTACTACTTACATCGGAAGCTAACCAGAATTTTATGCCAAATTTGTCCGGTTTGTTGGGCATGTATTGAGTAAATCTACAACGTGCTTTTGTAGGAAACAATTGTTCATCTATAGCAAGATATGCTCCTGGTTTATAACAGTTTTGACTGTTTTCGATAAATTTGTACCAAACTTCAGAGATCAAAGCGAACTTATCGTTTTGTAAGCGTTGGCTTCGTTGATTTTTGTTGTCAAACCGAATAAATCTCATGATTTCTGTGAAGTCATTTCGGCTCATAGTTGTCGAGAAAAATGACGGACCCCATTTCGTGTTCCATAAATATGATACATCCATATTTTTAGCCTCATATGCGCCGCGTGCATATAGAAGTCCAATAAATGCATATAATTTTGCAATAGATAAATTCCATTTCGTTTTCAACACTCGAAATGCCTCTAATTCCATATATTTTCTTACATGTTCAATCATGTTATGATCAATAATCAAGGAAAATGCTGACTCAACTCTGCCCTTTATAATATTTCGTTTAGCGTATCCTGTCGGTCCTGATATTTCCTTGAAAATATAATAAATCGGTGCTCTTCCGCGATTAGACCCTTCTTTTATTTTTTGCCAAACAGTTCCGTCCATAGCAGTTTCAATCTCTTCCTCATTTTTACTTTCGGAACTAACTATAAATCTCTTTCTTTTTTGTCTTCTTCGTATATTCAAAATATTCTCTTCGTCCGTATCGCTGTCAAATAAGTCACAATTATTTTCTGCTGTATCATTATCAATATCGGAAACTTCTTGGTCATCTTCCGAACAATCCTCGTCGATATTATTTATTTTGTCTAATAAATTGATATTCCTCGAATGTCTTGACATTTTTGGGGATGAATATACAAATGATAAAGTAAAAACTAAAATATAAAAATATAAATCAAACGGGGCAAAAACATTGAGACCAGAAATAAAAAAAAACAATTGTAAATCATACCACAAAATATTGTTGGCTCTGTTGACTTTGTCGAAACTATCACTTATACCACGTAATAATTTCTATTATACACTGTGAAATTTTGATGCTCTTTGTTCGGATTGCAAGACCGTACTGTCGTACAAAGAACGCTATGCATTTGTTCCAATCGCGCTATGCATTTGTTCCAATCGCGCTTTCCAAAGAATATAGTCGTAAATAACATGAATTTTTCAAATGGTCAAATGACCGTTCGTGGTAGACTAGACATGCTATAAATTTTTTTCGGAAAGTAAACAATAAAGAAAGTTGTGAATATTGAAAAATGGGTTGTATGTATATTATAGGAAATGTCAATAAGCTACATGGTAATACAGTAACGTTGTATACGAGAAATTCTAAACGAAATTTCAAAAACGGTCATTTGACCGCGCATGGTAGGTTTAGTGTTAATTTACGTCAACTAGTTATGTTTGTCTTATAATTTAGCGGGGGTTAAATATTTAAGAGATAAGTGAGACGCGACTAAACTGTCGCTCTCCGAGTGTCGCACGGACGGATGCATTTAACGAAATCGAAATTTTTCGCGTTTTACATCAAACATGCAGACAGTTTTCATTTGTCTGCATTTTTGTCCGCAGATATCGTTGTTTAATATCCGAGTGGTACGACTGAGAAAATGTCGCGATTCGATCGATAGATAGTTGATCCGTACAATAGTAAAAAGTCTTGGGTTAAATCTAACATATTTCACATGTCCTAAATTCCACTCAAATTCGTGTCTTAATTTAACACGAGGTGAAGTTGTTGAAAGTCAATACAAATATCATGTTCAAAATTAACACAAAATTAATACGTTAATCGGCATTGAAACAGAAAATGTGTTATTTTAACACTTATTCATGTTTAAATTTGATAATGTAATGATAATGTAACGCCGTGCGTAAGTATGCGTGTATAACTATTGATAAATTAATATGAGGAGAAAGGCGTGCGTAGATGGCGTGTTGGTGATTAATTTCTCCAGACAGCAGGGAAGCGACTATAAATAATTTATAATCGTGTGAGATGAAGCGGGCTTACTGATCTGACAAAATGATCGAAAGATACATTATAATATAAGCGATGTTCGCGCTCTGTGATGATCCTTTTCTGGCCAAGAAACAAACAATCACTATTGTACATGCTTATCATCATTTTGTGTGTTTCGCCGAATGTTTTGTGCCAGATTTAAAACAAAATTTAACGTCGGCTCCGTGTTCTATATCCGGGTTTTTTTCGACATGCGTCAATAAGATACTGTTTTATTTAAATTCAAAAGTGACGCAGAAATGCCGGCTCCTTTAAATTGTGCGACCAACTACCTTAATGATAAGAGGAATCGAATCTTAATTCACGACACTCCAAAGGAACACACTTTATTGTTAGAACGATGTATACACGAAAAGAAAAAAAGATTAGAGTGAATAGTCAAATTAGTTCTATATGTGGACATCTGAAACTTTAGCAGCATGAGTGATCTTAATATTGCTGCAAAAACAAACTTCTTTACTGCAGCGGCAAATGTACTAAGCGCAAGTCATCTAACATGATAACATTGATAACATTTGCACTTAGTACATTTGCCGCTGCAGCAAAGAAGTTTGCTGTAGCGGAAAAATCTATTACTCTAGCAACAATTAAAATTATTTACGTTGCTAAGGTTTCAGATGTCTACATATGCGAGTAATTTCGCCATCATAGCAAATCTTTTTTGCCGTGCGAGTAATGCACGATTTGCTTAACTCGTTTTTAACGCGTCACGAGTAACGTAATACAGCGATCGATATAATGATATGACGAGTACGGAACGGAAAAAAACGACGTATGCGAATATAAGCATTAATTGATCCGCACAGCAATTATTAAATTTGCATTCCCTCGATGCGGCATATCGTGCGTAAATGGTGCACCGTAAAAAGCACGATCCACCGCCGACGAAAACACCGTCCCTTATTTTCTGCTTGCAGAATGCATCATCTCATTTATAGTGGGCATCGCATGCAGTACCTTGGCCTACGTAATTTACGTCGTCGATCCCGTGAGAGTGATAATGGAATACGTAAGTGTTTTTACGCTGTGAAAGATCAGATCGCAAACGAGCAACACGCGCGAACAACGTTTAGAAGTGTCTAAATAATTGAGAGCTGCAGATAAAATATGACGAATTTATTGTTTGTAGAATATGCAGATGAGACCGAACTCGTTTATCTTCACGCTGTGGAAAAAACCACCTCTTGATGTTTACATAAACGTGTATGTATTTAACCTTACCAACCCGGTGGAGTTTTTAAACGGCAAAGAAAAGTTGAAAATTCAAGAGATCGGGCCGTATGTCTATCAGTAAGCACGTTTTACATATTAAATATGCTTGATTAGTAATATCTAGCTAGTCAACATTTTACAATATATTCGTCCATTTTCTAGAGAAATCCTCGAGAATATTAACATCACGTTTAACGACAATGGCACTCTAACTTTCATGCCGAATCGAAAGATAGTCTTCATTCCTGAAATGTCAATTAGTGATCCGATAGAGGACTTCGTTCATGTCCCGAATGTACCTTTGCTGGTAAGGAAAAATTTATTACTTTTGTTTCTTGAGCAATACTGACATTAGTTTACACACACACACACACACACACACACACACACACACACACACACATATATACACAAATTTTAACTTTTTATCTGTATTCGAAATAGAATATAGTGAATATGTGTTCTCGAATGGTCCGCTAAACACAAATTCAAATTATCCAAATTTGGTTATTGAGACACAATAAAAAAAAATAGCGTCATAGAGATGAAAAATACCAATTTTAAGGGTTTTCACGAAGTTGTAATACTGGTAGCAGATTTTTAACCAAATTTAATTTTTAATTAAATTTCGTTAATGCTAAAGCAAAAGCATTGATTTTCAGCTTTTAAATGTATTTCGTATAGTTTCGGTATGATTTCTCGTTTTCAAGATTAAGCTAAAATTGAAAACGTTGGTTGAAAACGAAAAATCATTTTGAAACGATGCAAAATGAATTTTAAAGCTAAAAGTTGACTCTTTTGCGCATTAACAAAATGTAGGAAAACATTTGCAGTCGGTGCTACAACGTTATAAATCTCTCAAAATCAACGGATTTGCGTTCAGCAGACAAGAACCATTCGGGAACACCTATTATCATTTCGGATACAGAAATCTCGGCTGATATAATTCTTCGTGATTAATTGCAACTGCTGAGTTTTTTCCCTGCGTTCTTGTGTTAATCGGAGACATTGCGTAGCATCACGCATAGAATAGATAAAAACGTAGACGCCAGATTTTTTAATTGTAAGACCCTGTTCACGTATGTCGATTTGATTGTTGCGGAGCTCAGCTCCGATTCAGAACGATAACTGGCTTATGTTAAAGTACACGCGTTTCTTTCTTGAAAAACTTCGTGGTTCAAGTGTATATTATTTAATTATATTGTGCAAGATAATAATAATATGTGTACAATATACTCGTAAAAATAATAGCAATTATATATGAAATTTAACGTTTGCAACTATATTGAACAAATATCAGCCAAATATATAAATAAAACTTTTGCTATAGACTTTGTACATGATTCCAAGAATTACGAATACGTTAATATAAATATGTTCACGTAAAATATGTTCACGTATTCAAATGGGTATAATTCGTAACGACAAGAGTGAGAATTTTTTATTACTATTTAATCCGAAATTTCCAATACTCGTGAAAAGAAAGGTCTTCCTCATATTTTATCTCGTCCGATTACAAATAGCAATAATATTCTACGGTTATCTCTCAACCGTGAATGTTTCACAGAGACGTCATGTGTCCTGTTAATTAACAATGTATACGCTAATCCGCTCGTAAAATAAATGGTTGATTTGATTATCGAATTGATTCTCCTAAGATAGAGTTTTGTTCGCATGCGATTGCGAGAATATTTCTTGACTGTAATATTGTGATCGCAGTATTAAGAACGATCGCTTCAGGCAACTTTGTGCCCCGAGTAAATCGTGCCCGAGCCCTGAGTTCCGTGCACGCAACAAAGTTATTTTAGTAGTCGCATTTTATCGCTTGTATTTAACTAAACTAACTCTTAATAGTGAGTTGATTATCTATTATTAATAGCAGCTGAGAAAAAGAGATTTATTCATCTTAAGTTCTATATTATTATTCATGTTTCTCGGAACATTTATCTTGGCTCGGTCAAAATATCTCGAGGCGATGGGTATTACACTTTTTTAAAATACTTAAGTAATTATGCGTATTTTTTTATGAACAAAAACAGTAAACATTTATTATAGAATAAGTGTGTGTGCGTTAACGTACGATTCTAGTTTTCATTAATTATGCTATTAAAAAATATATAAAAATATATATTGCCTCTTATTACAATCTTATTATCATTATAGATAAATAACAAATCGAAAGCGTATATACTTATCAAGGATGATAATTTAAACATCTTTATGACGGAATTTAGAGGGGCTTCATTAAATTTGAATAATTACAGATTGATTATTTTGATTGATACATCTTGTGCAACTTGATTTAGGATCTATTTTGCCCGACGTAAAAATCAAGCACATTCTATGTTTCATTCTTTGATGTATACACTATAACAATATCCATTTATTGTCTCATTTCACTTGCTGATTTATTCATGATATATATTTATTTACGATATATATTAAATGGCGCCTATTGAAATAAAAAACAGCGTGTAGTTGTACCTGCTGGCAATATTATTGGAAAATGTCATGATCGTCAAGCATGATCGTTATATAACTATTAGACGATGAAAATGCAGCGAAAAAAGTTGTTTTCATGTCAGCGCAGCGAAATAATCCGGAAGGCAAAATGTAATTCTAAAGGCGGGTCGTGTGCAATACTCGCGATGTCGTGAGTAGCGTGAATTATAGACCGCCAATATACAGTAACGTCACAACATTAATATTAATAACATACGCATGTATCTATGATTGAAGAAAGATGTGTATGGAGAAAATTAGCGAAACTTACTTAGCAACATTAAAAACAATTATATACGTGAGGCAAGAGTCATAGTCAAGTGTTATATAGTAACGAATATAATTATAGACAACACGATTGAAGTACACGAAAGCGCAAAAATATAAATTTATAGAACCACGTCTGATGGAAATTTTTCACTATACGACTGCATTATATTATTGCATATTAAGAAGATATATGATGTTTTTCTTGTTGCTCGTGGCACTTTAAATTTTTTTCTCCGCTACATGTTCGAAATACATATTAAAACTTTACGCTGATCCAACGCAGGGTATCTCATCCACTCTGCATGATGCCGGATTTCTGGTGAACTACCCGTTGACACGACTGGCGAACATGTTAGACTCGAAACCTATCCTTAACATTTCGGTTTACGATTATTTGTGGGGTTACGAGGATACAATGGTAACACTGGCTAGCGGCATCTTGCCGAACTTCATCAACTTTAAGAAATTTGGCCTTATGGACAGGGTGAGTTAAACGACACGTCTCTATTCTGCCTTAGTATTCACGTAGCCATAAATAAACATAAACGTATACGCGTCAAGACGTTTCCTGCTGCATCCTTTTTATAAGACTTTTAACTCACGCCACGTGTATCGTAAACGACACGTGTTCCAAAGCTTGACAAATATATTATTATTATTTACGGCTTTTTATTATTATTTTCCTGATTCATTTTATTTTGTCTCTTTGAAAATATTATTTTATCTCTTTAACTTCTCTATTGACGATAATACCAGTTGACGTCAGTTAGAAGTCGACTCCAACGTGCATTAAAAAATATACGTGACTAGGAAATGAGTTAAGCAAATCAGCGAAATGCAAATATTGTTGTTGAAACTTTAGAATACGCATATCAGAACTAATCGTATTAGAATATATACATGTATTTTGCAAAAATACTTAAGGTGATATTTTTTCCATTATTTTCTTACCATGAAACACAACAATCTACTTATCTATTTCTGTGAACGCAAATCCATCTTTTAAAATCTCGCAAAATATATTGCAATTTGCATATTTGTTTGAAAATACAACAGTTTTCTTGGAATTGATGACGCATTATTTTGCAACGTAATCGTCACAAAAATAGATAAAAATTAACGGATTACGATCCTCTTTTCTTCTTTCTTTCTTTCCGTCTCTTCACGAAGACTGGATTAATGTATGTACCACCAATAACCTGCATATATATGCGAAAATTACATTCTTCTGTGAGTTCGAGATAAAATTTTACTTTATTTGATAACTAAACGAAGATATGAAAGCATACACAAGCTTTAAGTCGAATTTTTTAAGATAGTCAGGATTCACAATTTCCTTACATTTGATTTCCTGTGTTTCTTCAACTGTCGAGGAAATCTAATAATTCATGGGAAATAAGGACAAACATAATGTACTTGGCGCTCATAATTATTCAACAGAAAAACAACGTTTCATCGTTCGCGTTTAACCAGTTTAACGCTCATCGGCGAATGCGATGTATTCACGATAGCCCAGTTTTCAACGAAGCGATTAATCACAAGTGCACAAAATAATTACATCGTATTATTGCATCGCAAAACTAGGTACAAGAATTGCAGTTTTGTTAGATTGTGCGTTTACTTCATCGCGATTGCTTTTAAGTAATTGCTTTAAACCCGAAAGAGCAAAAAGTGAAAAGGACTGAATTGAATCATGGAATAAAGTCAAGGAAAAAAGAAAAAGATACAACGAATTTACTTAATCTAACACTTTTTTTTCTGTGTAATAATCAGACTGTACTCTTACTTATATACGCATAACTTGAAATATTGAACAAGAAAACATAGATATGAAAATGTGCATGAGAAATGTATATACATTGATGTTCGCATTTCTACATAAGTACGAAATGAACATGCTTATATTACTGCGAAGCATAATAGGAAAATTTAGATCATACATAGCTTAGAAAGTTTATTCAATTCTTTTCATTGCATTAGCCGCAATTTTGAATTTTACAGGTCTCCGTCGAACCGTACGGCGCCTATTTATTAGCGATTACAAAATTTTCTTTCCTGTTTTTTTCTTTCATTTAGCATTTAGACACGATCTTGCACATAACAATGCGTCATCTGTTGCCCGTTGTCACGTATAATTGATTGTCATGTATAATTGGTTTGAACCTTGAACGGGAAAAATATACGTTCGAACCTTGAATGAAACTACACGGCGATCTTTTATGTGGCAGAGGATATTAATTTCGGTAACTTTTACGGGTCACGAAAATACACGTATCCGTTTATATACAAGGTTTCTCGATGTTTTCTGAATTTTTGTTTACAACAAAGTATCGTAAAGACGAGAGTTAATCGACGCAACCATTGCGTGCAACTAGCCGACGAACATTTCGAGAACAATTCAAATGCGTTATTTCGAAAAGAACGAAAAAGAACAGATCGGCTGACTTGTATGCACAAATATACAGCGAACGAGCGGAGAGCTATAATTGACTTCGAACGTTGACTTCGTGCTGCGGTTATTAACAAATCATGACAACGATCTTGCTATGCACCATCGAAGGTTGCAAAAAAGATCTAGGGTACTGAACGAAAAAGAACCGGTTTTCCAATAAGTAGGCGCGTTGGTCTTCGCAACATCGTAGAATGGTTTCTTTTGTTTCGAAAAACCACAGAGCCAAGAGAAGAGACCAACGGGATACTGCGAGCCGAGCCGTTTCGATCGAAATCGATTCGGGATTCACTCCGCTAATTGAATAATGTCCCACCTGAGCGAAGAGGAAAGAAAGAAAAATAAAATCCACGTGAGCATAAGCACACGCGTTCTCTACGCACAGCTAGACATGTTTAATGCCGCTTGTGTAATTATTAGCGGGTCACGTGAGAAGTGGCGAATTTTTACGCGAATTATCGCTGTATAATTTCGAGGATGTCGTGTCGTTTAATTGACACGATTTTGCTGGATTTCTTTCCTCGCGTTTTTTCTTCTTCTAATTATACTAAGAATCAGTTGAAAAATTCATAGTTAGTTTTGACACCGAGCGAACCTTTTGACCACAAATGTAGTCGGAAGAAGCACCTTTCCAATAAGTGTCACTATAATGTCGGTGATAATCATTTTGCGCGTTGTTACTATAAAATATATTTGGCGTCGAAATTAATCGTAATTTTTATCAGTGTAAAAATTAACGCGTCTCATCAACTCGGTGATCTCGGCATGAATGCGCGTGTGACTACTTGAGATTTTCGAGTTGCTCGTTCTGCCACAAGAGTTCCTCTTTCCGCTGTATTCAAAATACACAGACTGAGAGAAAAAATAATTGGAGTAAGTCGGATAAACTCCCTATATTTTACAGACAATTTTAGTCTCAGCTGTCCTATCCCTTTTTTAACTTTAACCATATTAAAAAATAGTCAAGGCAATTATTATATATTAAGAGAATATTTTCCTAGTAAATGTGTGTAGTGCCAATGATAATAAACTTAGATGCATGTTGCTACTAATATTTTTGTGGTTAAAATGAAGAAAGAATATTGCTGTCCCTGAAAATAACTATAATTTTTCTCTCGGTGAGGTTTTGTTCATCGCGACGAAAATATATCACTTCTCAAAACCTTCGCAGCATCACGAACTCCAAACAGGTTCCGAGTGTGCCGGCACGTGTTTGTGATATCCATCACGTTTCCTTTATGCAGAGACAATTATACACAGATACTTTATAATCCGTGACGCAATTCTCCGATCGCGATTATGCAGCAATTCACGCAAAAAATAGAACGCTCGTGTCATGTGTGTAGTCATGTGTTCCGAACTGCTGTTACTTTTCGCAATTACAAGTCACGCCGCGATCCTTTCACTATTTACACACGCTCGTTTTAGAGTTCGCGAGGTTAGTGTTAACGACTTTTAGTGCCGCATGGACATTCAAAGCGTCAGACGATTTTTCCGAGCACGCTTTCCTTCACAAAGTGTTGCAACGAGTCTTCAATGATTCGTTGTAGTAGAAACCGGCAGGACGTTGTTCATTTTTATTGATCTTGTGTTTTGTATATTACTGGCTAATAAATTATTTTATTTCTGTAATCATTGTATTACTAGCACCTAATGATTTTGAGTAGTGAGTATAGAGATGCTAATAACATGGAGTAATTCAATGATAACCTAATGGTCTATGATAAATTGATCTATTATACAATGATTGATGATGATGACAAATTATTGATGTGAAGTCTGTCCTAAAAATAAATTATACGAAGTACCGCACCTCGTGATTGAAACAGTCAGCATAATAAAAGATGTAACACTTTTTTCTCAGTGAGTTTCGTAACGCGCATCCACCTTGTATGCTTCAACTGTTATTAAAAATTTTGTACAATATATACGAATTTCTGGAAAAAGAAATGGAAAAGAATTCTGGAAAAGAATTTCCGGAAAAGATGGTCGACGATCTTGCAATTTCTTTATATTTATTTCTTAATATTTCTTAATATTTCTACGAGTCTCCTTTATTATCTTCCCATTTTTCATTAAAACCGTAAAAATAATTTGGTTGCTAGAATTATAAAACGTGATATCGGAATTCATTTTCATACCTGTGATATGTGTAAATAGGACTATGATCAATTATTTCAGCTTCGGTATGATCTTTTCTTAATTTCACATACCTATAGATCGTATAGGTCGTGCTTCGATTATAACATACTGAATACTACTGTATAAACATGAGATTCTTCTAATGAAGATCATACGAATCTAATCAATTGTGGGAAAGAGTACGTATTTTCTCGGCGAGAGAGAGAGAGATTTCTGCAGGATGTATTTTGTGGTGGAAATTCGTTGAAGATAGAAATCTATGCCTGTTTGTTCAGATGTACGACGAAGGGGAGAACATTGTGACGATGCACGTGCAGAAGAATGTCGACATGAAGAATGAGAAAGGCAGATACTTCAGCATCGACAAGTACAACGGCAGTCCCGGATTGGCGCAATGGGGATATATCGACACGGAAGACAATAAGACGCGAGAAAAGTAAGAATGCAGTCTAAATCATTTAACTAACAAGAAAACACCGTAAATTCGAGATTACGCAGAGAAATAACAAATTTTCATCCGACGAAGAAATAAGAAATCAGATAAAGTAACATTAGGCAAAACTTTTACTGACGAGAAGGTGATGAGTTTGGGTTAAACTAGATTAACCAGCGGAGAAGGGCGAAGCCCCTATAATCACCTGTACATCATCATTCTTACATCAAACTATATCTTTCAGGATTGAGAATGAGTGTCACATTTTTCAAACTTCCTTTGTTCGTAACTTTTTAATCAACAATGAGCGACGGGGCGAACGGGCACGAATTACGCATATCGTTATTTATATCGAATCGCTCTACATACTTAACAAAAGTTGATCTAAATCGAAGAGTTCGCGATATTCCCTTGTAAGTTATACCGCGAAGAGCCGTTTTTCCAATCCGGGAAGTAACGCAGACGGTGCAGACACGTCGCATCGTTGTTGTTCGAGTAAAATTTTACGCCGATCGCTGGATCCCTCGTCTGAATGCAAAAATAGACTTAACGGCAAAGTGAGCGTCTGCGTCTCGTTGCCCCGGTAAGTGCTAAGTGACATTTCCAAGGGCCTCGTAAAAGTCTGTTTTATTAAAAATTAAACAGCGCGTTAAATTGAGACAGCATCGACGGTGTGAACGAGAAGCGCAAATAGAATTGCGGGAATCAAATATTGTTCCGGGAAGTATCGAGACGTCGGTACATTCGCTGAAAGTCACTGTGTTCTTTTTTTTTTCGCGATGCCGCGATCGCACCCGTAATTGCGATCAAGCCTTTGCTATAATGCATTACTCACTATGTCCGCTTGCCTTTGATAAATAAACAGCGTTATATTTTATGCATATCAGTAATTGAAAAAAGACACGTCAGAGCTTGGGTTTTCTCTCCTTTTCCAACTTCGCGTAGGAAGGAATAAAATGACACGAAGCGCTCGTTGAAGAATCGAACGAATTAACATTAGAATCACGAATGGGTCATCGTTCTTTTCACCCGCCTCTTTTTTCTTGTAACAACGGAACACGAAAAACTAACAACGTCTTGGTTTTATCTTGGCCTTGCAGAAATACGGTCTGCAACACGCTTCAAGGCGCCACGGAATCCTTGTTATTTCCGCCGAATCTGGACAAAAGTGCCGTTTTCAGACTCTTTAGGAAAGCGTTTTGCCGACCGCTGCCGATCATATTCAGGAAAGAAGTCGAGACGTACGGTCTGTCGGGGTATTACTATACTCTCAAGGATGACTTCGCCGATCCGGCCGAGTTGAATCCGGATAACAAATGTTACTGCCGTAACAATATCTGTTTGAAGAAAGGACTGATGGATTTAACGCCGTGTTATTACAGTACGTATTCCGATAACCTCCTAGTGAGAAATAAGAAGTCGAAATGATATTGAAATGGTATCGAAATTTGGTCAAAGGACGTAGAAATACAATATCGATTCGAGATCCGGGTCGGTTTCGAGAAATTTCTGACGTCGAAATCAGCTCGATTTTGAACAATTCTTTACATGAAAAACAGCAAAAAATTTCGAACAAGTTTTGACATCGAAACCAGTGTGAATTCGGTTGGGACCGTGAAACTTGAAAGGATCTACAGTGTCTCTAGAAATCCATTAAATTTTTAGTTCTTCCCGGTAAAAAACAATTTGTTGAATCGACGTCAAATCTATATCGAATCGATGAGTCAATTGATATCATGTTACTAATGATTTTACTACCGACACTCCTGTCGGAGTTCGGCAGTCATTCCGACCTCCCCTTAAGGCAACTCGAAAATGAGTCGAAATTCAAACGGACGTCGAGTTTTTCACTCTTATCAGCGCTTCGAAGATTCACCTGTACCTTTGCAACATTGTCTCAACGATACATTTAACAATCGTTAGGAAATCATTAAATATTCATATATACAGACACACCAGATGTTGTACGCCCAATTTATGCGAAAGTGAAATATATGAGACGTATAAAAAAAATTTATTTTTACGTAAAGAGATGATGTAACATTGAAATAATCGAATTATACTTCTATTCGCTTACGCAACACTGCCACATTGATGTGAATTTATGCGGAGGTTTCACTTCTGCAGGTCATTCGCCTTGTGTTCATCGTGAATACGACGCTTCTTATGTCGCCAGGCGCAAATGCATACTTAACAGCTCCTAAAGAAAAAGGAGCGAAAAATAACCGCAAAGGTGCTGATGAATTTATTGGTTTCTCTTTTTATTTACAGAAATTCCGGCGGCAGTATCGCTTCCTCATTTCCTTAACGCCGATCCGAGCCTGCTGGAAGACATAGATGGCCTTAGTCCGAGCATGGAAAAGCACAAGTCATACTTAATAGTGCAACCGGTAGGCAATGATATCATATTAAATCAATTAGATCAAGCAGATAGCAGAGGGGAATATTCGCGATGCGTTCGGGATCTCATATAGCACAAATGTTCAAAGGGCATCCTAGATACATCCTGGAATGTTCAAATATCCCTGGGACATCTCTAGGATGTCTTTTAAATATTTACGTTGCATGGGGTATTTCATGGCACTTGAGAGAGAATCAAGAAGACGCTTTTATGCAATACCACATTTTTATGTTTCTTTTAAAAATCCTAGATAAAATATCCTGGATTGAATTTGTCGAATTTCGGCCAAGTATATCATTTTGAAATTTTGTTCAGACCGTTGCGTTGTAATGAATCATCTTAGTACAATCGTTGCGAAATTTCTCGGGACTTGGTCTGTCATAAAACTGCTTATATAACAGATATATAAATCACAGTCTACAGCCTTGAATAAGTAGCTGCCTTACATTACGCTACTTCATTCATTTTCGCAATGCTATCCTTCCAGACACTCGGTATACCTCTGTACGCGCACTCGAGGATGCAGACGAACCTGGTAATGCAGCACACACGTTACAACTCCAAGATCACACCTTTCAATGGCAAGGTGATACCATTGTTCTGGTTCGACGTGGTAAGTAGAATCTCTAGACGCGCTTTCAGGCGTGTCACTTAGCTGATGATAAAAAATCTCGCCCTTCTGGGCGAAAACCGATTATCTCTGCCTCTATCGCTTTCTCTAATTTCCTTTTCTTTTATCGCTCCCGTTGGTCGAAATTTCCAAAGCAACGCATGTTACGACGTTTCCATGAGAAAATTTCGTTGCGTAATTCGAAATAACGTAACGTCGAACTGATATGCGGCGGAATTTCCTGCAAAATTATTAGCTATAACTAAATATAAATCGAGTGTTCGCCTTGATTCCATTTCACGTGACTCGTTTAACTCTTGCATTATCAACGGAATATTCACATCGCAATCGCATTATGTAATCGCACATTAATTTTAATCGCGTTCAGTCAGTCAAAAAAGTCTGGTTCAACTTATCGCTTTCCTCGCTTCGCAAACGTGCCATTTCTTTTACAATGGAAAAAATAGTCCGTGTGTAGAAATGCTGCTGCAGAATTAGCGGAAGTATCATAGACAATGGGAGGTGATCAGTTGGTCGATGAATAACGTATTTCTATTACACTTACACGGGAAAAATCTTAGTTCCTGCAACTGTATAGGGACCACATGAAAATTCGGCGACGAGAAATGATGTCTCTGTCACTGCGACTGAAAATGTCCATAGCCGCATTAAAACTCAATTGAGATAACTAAGGTGCGATTGACCGAGGAGAAATCTACTTCAAGAATCTTTTTGTTCCTACAACCGATGAAGTTCAACTAAAAAATTAAAATGATATATCATGTTACGAAATATCATTGTAATAACGTTGCGTTAATGATTTCTCGGCTTATACTGGCGTATATACGCGGAATCGTATGATCTGTTCTATCCCATTCACAGTGAATGAACGAGCGAAATTTTGTTTTTTCAGTCTTTCACAAAAATGCCGACTTCTCTATTGATCATAATCAAATTGGTGGTGCAAATACTACCGATCGCGCAGATTATGTTGACATGTCTACTCGGTATCGTCGGGGTGACGGCGATAGCATGGTCGCTCGGTAACACTTTAAAGCTCATCAAGGAACAACGGCAAAAACAACAGGAAGTGCCGGGTCACGTCGAGTCCGACATAAAAATGCCTTTGTACAACGGCCAACACGCTTCGATCTCTATTCTACCAACGATCAGCAAGATCACATCGACGACAGATCTATTTAGTTAACTCGGCATCGGTAGCGCACACATTTTACGCACACGCATAGTTCAATATCAACGAAATACGGAAGATCACCGAGATGTCCCGATTTTTTTTTCACTACCTGCGATTGACGCGCGTCCCAAGACGGTTAGAAGTTCGGAAGCGAAATCCCCCATATTTAATTGCGATTATCTTCTGTAATCCGCACGATCGCACGACGGAGTGCACTGTGCATCGTCGGCACAGATGGCGAGAGAAGAATTTAGACAATGATCTTTTCAACTCATTTTCCAAGAAAATTGCCTTATATGTAATTTCTCGGCCAACTATGATGTTTCCTACGCCACTGCTTTAGAAGCATTTTCATTTATATTAAAATGAGTTCAAAATACGGGCCAATATATATATGCAATTACACACAATTTACACATAAATACGTATGTATGCTTCATTTTCAAGATATTTTCTAATATTATGTTTTTAAGGGGGAGGGGAGGCAAAGGTTTTCTATTTTGAATGGCTATCTTGAAGACTATTTTTATGAATATTTTCCTCAGGAATGAGAACACGTAGGATAACAGCATTTACAATAGTTTACATTTACAGTAATACTGTATACGCTTACTTATTTATGTTTTAACTTTAACAAATTTAATTGTTAAGATGTTTGGATAGCATATTGTGTGGATATTAATTATTGAATGTAGCACGTTGAAGAAGCTCGCTTGCACCGTCGTTACGCGGCTTCGCCGCTTCTATTGATCTGAAACAAACGAATCTAGAATGATTTTAATCTGTACAAATGTGGCTACTGTCCCAATCACAGTTAACAGTATAGCTCAATGTTTAACGAAATGGCGATCATTCAAATATTAATACCGAATTTCATTATTTTTTCGACGTTTCCGAGTTGCGAAAAAAAAAATTGGAGAAGATATATTATTATATAAGAATAACATCTTATAAGAGGGACCAATTTCGGCATTAAACGAGCACTTAGAGAGCGCCTACAATTTTTATCTATCTCGTGTACCGAGTTCTTTGAATTTATAAAATACCAAAGAGTTCGAATTTCGGCAAATCGCTTTAGGGAAACTATATTCATAAGACTATTAGAATTGAAAATATATAAGGAACAAAAATCGATTTTTTTGACCCGTTAAAGTAGAAGAGCTTCTTAAGTTCACCACTTGGAAATTGTAGACGAGCTCTCGGACATTTTTATCGAGAAATGCGATCTTCCGTTTAACTTTAAACTTATCGCTCAATAGAAAGATTTTCTCTAACAATTTTATGGTGAACATATTATTTAGATTAATTAAGGGCTGACAATTTAATTTTGTACGAGAAATAAGCGGTAATTATTTAGTTTATATATTTTAGTTTATGTATTTAGATTATCTGGCAATCGTAAATTGTCGGTTTCACGAGAAAGAGAGAAAGAGGAATGTTGCATTTTTATCGTTATTAAGTTAAAATATGTAGTTTATGAGTACGCGGAACTAACATAATTCCTTAGTTATGACGGCTCAAATATACATACTGAATAATATTAGGCTCTCGAGCGATCTACTATCAAATGAAAACATAGAAAGAATCTATAATCAAGTGAAAACATATAAGAGCCGAATGCAGGATGTTGGTACGAATAAACTTATATTGGAGGATAATATGTTTGACGGTGTTATCACACGAGCTGACGGATTTTCAATGTACGCGGAGAATCTCCTTTCTACATCAAGTCAAATCCGTATCCCAATTATTTAAGGGAGATTATTGCGAAGGAAATTCCCCGCGTAAAACGTTAAAAGTCTGACAAATTCCTCAGCGCGTGCGATATTACTTTATAGATTTCTTTCTATGTTTTGAAATATACATATTTAGTTTACTTTATTTTTACGTAAAATTACTGAGATATTATTACTAATAATGTAGATTGTTACCTTCTGCGTAAATTTACTTTATAGCACGAGAGAGAAATAAATATTAGTTTTAATATATTTTTATGTAATTAAAGTAATATACATAAATTAAAAATATTTCTCGAATCGAATCTCACAAAAATAGAATTCCTTCTGCCGCAATGATTAATATGCAGCATTCAGATTTAACACTTTGCGGGCCGCGCATTTATCGAAGCGCCGTTACGCTGCCGCCGGCGAGATTCACGCAGGTTCTACTGTTCGCCAACGGTGATATTTACGCAATTTTTCGATACATAAGTAGTTGGTATATAATTATTAATAAAGAAGGCACTAAAATAACTGTTACACTATTTTTATTCCAATTATATTGGTATTGGCATTTTGAGGGATATCTAACGTAAGTTTCCTATATCTGAAGGTAGCGAAAGACAACCTCAAACTGACAAAACAAGCGTCTGCGAAAAAAGATTTTAATAATAGACAGTCTGTTGAATTGGGAGAGGAAAACAGTTGAAAACAATGTTTCCTGATCGTCAAACCATCACGCCAGCGTGATAGCGGCCGATAACCGTTGGCGAGCAAAAGTCACGCCAGTGTGACAGCGGCCCGCAAAGTGTTAATATTATGCTGAAATCGATTTTCGACATTTATTCAAGTTAAAAAAAAACATATCTTTTTTTCTCATTTGTGAACTAACTATAAGAATCTTTAAGCGTCACAGCATAAGTAGAAAAATAAAATGTGATAGAAATATATATATTTTTGTATGAAATATCAAAACTTTTGTTGTCGATTTATTTGAGATTCCTAAATAGATAAATGCAATTAAAACGAGCAAAAGTAATTATCATTCATAATTGCACGTGGTGTATTTTATTTTATAAGGTCATATAAAATTTTTTACATAAATTTAATAATGTAACAATTTACAAATATGATTACAATATAACAATAATAAATGTGTTTGTATGCGGCTATTTCTTGACATATATACATACACGTATTATATTACAAAAATATAACTACAATATAATATAATTACAAAATATGTTTTTTTTTCAATCAGTTGCACTTGTGGTTTATTGTATCACAAACTTCGGTGTTTCTCTTATTTGATCCCATATTAACTTAATTTGGGCTTGTAAATTCAAACACAGTCAATCCCGTCAAAGAGACACGATGCACTGCGATTATGGAAATGTTTACAAATCGTTCAATTTCCGGAAAACAAGTTCCATTTCCGGCCGATCTTGCGCGTATCGCTGAGCACACCATTTTCCCAAGACTATTAAGTTTCCATAAACCTGACTGTCCTTTCCACCGGCTTTCTTGTCTATTAGAAGAGGAAGATCTTTGTCTTGCCAAGAGAAAATAAAATCCCGCAGGTATTTGTTCTCGGGGCGCGAATCATCGTAAGCCCGGAGACCCGTCGCTATCTCGAATAATACTATCCCATAGCTATACGTGTCTATTTTTGTGGATAACTTCTTGTCAAACAAAAAATCTTCGGGCAAATACGGCCGCGTCCCATTGATTCTGCTGACCTAATAACAATTATTAGTTGTTTATATTAATAACTTAATAAGAATTACACCAGGGTGATTACTCAAACCCGAAAAAATTCCCTGAGAATTCTCTGATTTTCCAGGCAATTTATTAACAATTCTATGTAAAATGAAAACATTTTTAAACACATTCTGCAGATGAATATATATTTATTGTGCAAAGTACTTAACACTTGCTATTCGTAACAGTTTGTAAGTCATGTTATAAATCGCAAAAAAGAAAATTAAGAATCACTCGAGTTTCGATGGTCAAGTTTGAACAATTCTGAAAGAGACTTCAAGGACTCTAAAAAATTAATATTTTATATCACGCAAATATTTTATATTAATTTTCAAATTAAAAAAAAGTTCTTTTCAGCCTGTTTATATAATCTGACGTTTACCTGCATATTACTGTCGCTGTCGTTCTCGGGGCCCTCTCGCGCCAAGCCGAAGTCGCCGATTTTCGGCTCGAAATTCTTATCCAACAAAATATTGGCGCTCTTGATGTCGCCGTGAATTAACGGCTTCTCGCCGATCGTATGCAGATATTGCAATCCGCGCGCCATACCTTTGGCGATCTCGTGCCTTTGTATCCACGTGAGCGGTTTAGTCTTCTCCCTGACCAGCAATCTGTCCTCCAAGGATCCGTTTCTCATCAACTGATAGACCAAACACGGCGCCTCGCCGTCGAAACTATACGCGTACAAAGGCAAGATGTTCTCATGGGCGCGAGAATCTAGAATTTTGATTTCTACGAGGGACTGCTGCAGCTGCACCATGTAACCCTCCCTCTCTCTCTCGGAACTGTTCCGTCCCTTCCGTTCGATCCTCTTTATCGCCACGTCGGTGTTCTTCCAAGTACCTACGGTGTACAAGAATATAGGCGCATCATGTTCCTTTCAGCAATGTTTGGTATATACTCAGCTATTAATCACCAATTCTACACACACACACACACACACAAAATCAATGTCCTTAGAAAGTTAACCCTCCGTTAGTCGCAAGTGTATCCAATAGATACGTTCAGGTTACAGCGTATCGGCATTGCTGTACAGCCTCAAGGTCGAATTCATCCTTGTCGATATTTTTCCTCTGCTCCCTTTGTTCTTCACTTCACTTTTTTTACGTATTTTAGTACGTCCTGGTTTATTACCCAAATGCTGATAAAAGAAAAACTGTGTGTGCGTGTCAAGAAGCAGAGGAAGATAATGGAAAAATGAATGTACATCACTGTGCGTTACATTGCGACCATTTATGGATGTGAAAGATATTGCAATTAACGGAGAATTAAACTCTGTACGGTTTAGATTTAGCGATCTGTGCGTGCGTCGATGGAAACGTGTTTACCTGTGTATACCGTCCCGAAGCCGCCCTTCCCTAGTATATTGTATTTATTCCACCCATTAGTGGCGATGCCTAGTTCGCTGTAAGTCACACGAGGCAAGGTAGCTTCAGTCTTTGGTAACGGCGGTTCGTTCATCTTCTTGCCGGTACTACCGGTGTTCTGTCGAGACGGTGAGAAGGCAGCGGCCGCCGGTGAAGCCACGAGCAAGTTATTCGAATCGCTTCGATTAATGGCTAATTGCGCCATTGGCTGATTTAAGATCTTACAATGCTCCTTTTCATCCGCGACGACTTTCGGAATGTTCGGCTGTGGCTGGGCGCACTCGTTGAAATTCTGCGCCCCGATCTTCAGATCTTTCGTGTTCCTGTTGCCTTGCTGTTTCTGCAGCAATCTCTGCATGTTACCCTCCCCACTATGCAAGAGTCGGTGGAACTTTGGTTCCACGAAAGGCAGCAGGGGAATCATCGACTGATAGTGATGCATTCTGGCCAGTAGGACGAACAGTTCTGTTATTGTATGATTGTAATGGCCCCACAGCGTCAAAAGCTCATCGGTAGGATTCTTCTCCCTTCGTAGGTTCTGTATTGTTAAGACGTCGTACTTCATCCAATTACCTGTCAAGGTTACAATGTAACAAAGGTTTTGATTAAAAGTTATTTTAATTAATCTCGTATACAAAAATAACATTCGACAGACAGTTATTACAAGTCATTTGGTTGCGGCAACGAATTTTATTACTGAGGATATAAAAAAAGATGATGGAAACAGTTTTACAAATGAGGCAATTTAACGCAAATTTAGGAGAACAAGGTAAGCGAATGAGACAAATATAGGTTAACAACAAGTGGCTTACGCAGTGTGAAATTTCTCAGCGACTTACCAGCTAGTTCTTCCCACTTGTCATTTTGATTCAGTATTTTGCAAAGCTCCGATCGTTCTAGAAACGGCAAGTGGTAAATATATTTGTTACCCTCCGACGTATTCGTTGCCATTTGTGTAAATTAGAAATCCACACAGTCGTCGAGTGCACAAAGCGTCAAGCGGCCAGTACTTTCTCTTCTCACTTCGATGGTTGTAATATCAATTAATATCAACGGAAGCGAAACAATATTCCAAAGTGATCTAAGCTACGTTTTATCGCTATCTACCGTGAAAGCTTAACACTTCTGTGCATTTAACATTATATGTGACAAACAGCCACCGAACCATCAAACTGTCAAACATAATAGATTATGTCATGATGTACGAACATTTAGACACGATGCCTACGGGAGAGAAAGCTTCTACTTCTTGATAGAAATAACTTTAGACAGAAATAGCTGCGTTCAGCGGAGAAACTTTGCAACCGCTGTGAAATTCGTGAATCTGATTGGTGCGTGTTCTTAATCTCGATCAAATTCAAGAGCATACACCAATCAGATTCATGAATTCTACACAGTTGCGAAGCCGCTTTCTCCGCGTGACGTCGCTGCAGCTGTTCTTTCAGGTTTTACTTTGACCCCTTATCGTTACTCACACCCTTTATTTCTATCAATTCCGACATCCCCGCTACGAGCCGCTACTCATTTATGAAAAATACAGATCGTGGCTCAATTGTATTCATGTCTCGCAAACAGGAAAGAAGAAAAGGTCACCAGCGCTCAAAGAGACGAAAAAATTCTGCCGGCGTTATTTCTTATTTTCTTTATTTTATATCAACCAACCGCCCACGGTGATGTTAATATTGATGGAATTACTCCAATCTGCATAAGAAAAAGTGAGATAAATTAAAGCTGTCGCTTAAATTAACCAAGTTACATTAAAAGTTACAATAAAGTTATTTTTAACTTTTCAACTTGTTAACTCGACTTTTAACTTTCAACTTGAGTTAATACTAATTATCAACCTCTCAACCCTGACTGCGCGCTAATGCAGACGCATTTCGAGCGGAGGGAGAAACCCGCAGAGCGGACCGGCAGCGCGCTGCAACTCCCTCGATGAGTTTCGGAACACGCGGCGATCATGTGCGGCGATCCCAAGGCGCACAATCCGCGGTAGACGACGTGGACGCGTCGCGTTCTCGCGTCCTCGCGTCATCCCGTCTCATGATAAACGCGATATAATCGCGCCGCTCCTCCGGTACGCGCGACTCGTGCGCGCCTGTGGATGCACGAGTGCGTTTTCACACTCTCTCTGCGATCGTCACGCGACGTCTCTCGCTGTGTCGACCGTTCACCCGGGATTTTTCGCGGCTTTTCCGCTCGCTGCTGCTCAGAAGTGCTCGTGTGTGTGTGTGTGTGTATTTTACGCACGTTGTGTGTGCATTTTGTATCACGCGTTGCACAGTGTCCGGTGTTTATCACGCTGCAAGGATGGACACGATGATGCCGAGGGAGGAGCCGGAGGACCAGGTCGACCTCTCGGAGTTGCTGGGCACGCTGATGCTCGCCGCCACGATCACCCTCGTTATCGGCTACATCATTGGCCGACTGACCCGCAAGCTGCACAACCGGTCGAAAGGTACACACCGCTTCCGTGCCTCCCTTTACCCCGCGTCCCGGCGTCACTTAGCGCGCGCGACCGGCCGCGGATGCGACCTCGGCTGAGACCTTCCACGTCGCCGACTGTCAAACGCCACGTGCGCGTAGGCCACGCTTTTTCCGGTCGATACACTGATAATCTATTCAGTGATATCACCGTTTGTTTATCTGCATTTGCATGAGCAATGTTAAACCGATTATTTCGATAAGTAATCGATACTATGATTAGTGTTACATGTCACACATATAGTACAATTATGACATGATTATTTATATACGTAACATTGGCAGTTGCATCACCGGAAATTACGAAACTCGTATGCCGTTCGTCGTGGTTGCGTTCAAGAAGCGCAACGGTTGTACGACGTTTGAATAATCCGATAATTAGCTTAAATTCAGGGATCTAACAGTAAAGGCCGGTAATCGCTGTTCGCTCGCCGATCGTTTGTTTTCCAAACGCAGTTCGTATAAACGTGAATCGTATGAAAGTTACTGATACTCGTGTCTATCATCACGCTTGAAATCTAATCGACGATGAATTCAACGGCCGATTCGCTGGGCCGATCGATGCGATTGGTCGATTCCGTTGAGTTTGTCGTCGATCAGATTTGAACGACGGGAAGAAACGTATCAGTTTTTATCAGTTTGCCGTGTAAGGGCCGATTGCTCCATCTTCTTGGTAAAATTTAACCGACGGGATATAAATGTTTCATGGCGAGAGAATGCGTTTTCGCTGCAGTGAACGTACTGCGGTTCAAAATGATAAGAATCCTCGTCATCGGCTCAGATCAAGAAGTTAAGTAGAAGATCGGGCCGTACACTCTCGCGCGTATCTAATCGCGATCCCACCTCTTCTCTCTGTTCATTCCTTCGAAAGCCCGCACGTGTCGCCAGCCACGCGGTTGCACCGAGCGCGCCGCGCGCACCTCCTCCCCTTCCCACATTGTATTTTATTTATCGCACGTGTGCAGCCACGGAGGCGGCCGAGTTGAAAAAGCAACCCGAGACGGAACCGCCGAGCGCCGAGCAGCAACCAACCGGCGGCGGCGGCAACACGACGGGCAAGCAACGCGCGAAAGGTCAAAAACGGCGGGAGGCGCAGCAGGCGTTTCAAAACTCCTGGCTGATTGGCGCGCTGAAGGGCCACACCGGCCTCATCCTCGACATGGATCTCTCTCAGAACGGCAAATACCTCGCGAGCTCCGCCGAAGGTACGTGTTTCGTAAAAAGAGAAGAGGGAAGGGGGAGGTAAAGGAACGAACGAAGGGAATCGAGAGAGAAGAAAAATAATAGAAGGTAGAATAAAGAAAGAATAGAGAAAAGAGAGGAGACATTCTTTCCATCTCATATTTTCATACGCGCGCCAAAGCAGTTCGATCGATGACAACTTTGCTTGATCGTCTAATCGAGCCGAGAGGAATCGATTTACGAAGCACGACGCATATCTAGATATCGATTGTGTGCCAAAGATGCACATATTAAACTTGTCCGGAATACTGCAATTACGTATGTAACACTTGCTTTGAAAATGATAGATAAATCATCTACATATACCGTATTTTTGCGTTTAACCCCTTAACCTACAACTACGGGCATAGCCCGTAGTAGATGATCGGGCCAAACGTGAATATTACGGGCATAGCAAGTAGTAGATGATCGTCCCAAACGTTAATATTACGGGCTTAGCCCGTAGTAGATGATCGGGATTTGTAGAATATTTGGTAAGGGATGTAATAATTGTGGTAGATGCAAGGCCCGAAATTTTCGAATTTAAATCGTAGGTTAAGGGGCTAACAGATTATCTCCAAAGCGATGATTTCCTCGTAATTTATTATCTAATTTGTTTCTTCTTCTTAAATTGAGAAAAGGAATTGAAAAATATTTTGGTTTCTTTTCATAAGATCTTTGGTGCGATTATTATTTTTATATAAATAATATTATTTTCTACTTTTGCGATTTTTTTATTGAAAATGTGTCAATTTAAAAAGGACACTCATTATCGATTTCAAGACGTAGTGAGAAAGGTGAGCAAATTCACTAGAATACTTATAATTTCATTGGTCAAGACCTAGTAAATCTGCCCACTTTTATTATGGCTTCTGCCCACAGGGCGAGCATTACCGCGTCTTGTGGGCAATTCTATCAGGAACCATGTCAACTTGAATTCAGTGAACCTGCTCCGATTGGCCAAATTCAATCACGATCTTAATCCGTAGTCTAATACGGACTTGACGCTACGAATGTTTCGAGGCTCCATAAGGACCAATTATATTTTACTTTTTAGCGCTCCGAAGCATTTGCAAATTCATATAGATCCTACCTCCGGATTAAATTTGCACTTTCCCACGTCTTCTGCCCGGAACGCAGAAATGCTTGGAAATGAGAAGCGACGCAGCAGCCAATAAACTCTTGGTTCTTACGGAAGAACGACACGTTGATTGGTTATGGCGTTGCTTTTTCCATCGCGTCGCGCGTTTCCATGTTTCCGCTGTGCGTGCGAGCCATGATACGTGCTACGCGCGTGCGCAGGAAGGAGGCTCATGTACAACCGCTCACGGGGTGCCCTCTGGTCGCGAGTGAGAAGAAGAAGCAAACGTAACCGCAGACAAGCGCTATTTGTTGATATCGGTAACATCTGGACATGTTGGCATCGCCGGGGATTTTCGAATTACGTGGCCGTTTCGTGCTTCTGTGTTTCTAATCCGTCAATTGGAACCTCGAGAATGTCGGGTAACAGAGGAGGTGACGAGAACAGAGGTGGTGTACCAGCACGTTGGCTTCATTGTCCCCGCAAGGCGATGAAGTTGATACAAAACAAATTCCTGGCCTTCAAGACACCCCTCTCGGCGGCCTATGACAGCCAGGTGCCGGAGGAGTGTCGGTTCACCGTCGACATGCTCTTCACTTACTTGAAGAGCTACAAGCTGAAATTAGGTCTGTGGATAGATCTGACGAACACGTCGAGATTCTACGATCGGAAGTGCATAGAGAATTACGGCTGTAAGTACCTGAAGCTGCAGTGCAGAGGTCACGGCGAGACGCCGTCGGAGGACCAAACCCGCACCTTCGTACAGGTGTGCAAGAACTTCATCGCCCACAATCCCCTGGAGATCATCGGCGTGCACTGCACGCACGGCTTCAACAGGACCGGCTTTCTCATAATCAGTTACATGGTGGAGGTGGACGGTACCAGCGTCGACGCCGCCCTGGCGGAGTTCGCGATCGCCAGACCACCTGGTATATATAAAGGTGACTACATACAGGAGCTGTACAGAAAGTTCGACGAAATGGAGGACGCACCTCCGCCACCCGCCAGACCCACGTGGTGCCTGGAATACGACGACTCCAACGTCGAGGACACGGACAACGGCACAGGCACGGTAGTCGAAAATTCAGACGAAGCGCCCAGCAAGAGGAAGGGGAAGCGGGAATTCAACAACAAGAATCCGGTATTCATGGCCGGTGTGCCGGGTGTTACGCCTATTGTCGACAAAATGATATATTCGGGGGTTCAAAAGCGCGTCCAGGAGATCTGCGGATGGAAATCAGGCGGATTTCCCGGCTGTCAACCGGTGACCATGGACCTTGACAATATCATGTTTCTGCACAATAAACCGTATCGAGTATCATGGAAGGCGGACGGTACCAGGTAAGGGTGGCTTTGGAAATCTCACTCGACGGGTGGAGTAGCGCTTATTAACCAGTCGTGATGAAGAAATCCCTGCTCTTTCTGTCTTGCTTGGTCAATCAAACGATATTCTACCTGTCGAGTAGAATTTCTGAATGTAGCCTAACTGTCCTTACCCTGCTTGCGCTGGCTTCAGATTTAGCGCAACCAGTTCAGTGAACTTTTACACTGAATTCTGCTGTAATAGAAAACGAACCCTTCTATCTGTTCCCTGGATATCGGTTCTTATAACAAGAGACTGTGAGAAAAAAAAGAACGATAACAACCACCGCTTCTGCAGGTACATGATGTTGATACAAGGGGACAGAGAGGTATACTTCGTAGACAGAGACAACAGTGTCTTTCAAGTAACAGGATTGACATTTCCGCACGTGCGAGATATAACTAGATGCCTGAGAGACACTCTACTGGATGGCGTGAGTAGATCCAGAATCGTTGACGGACGGTTGAGGCTAAATATTCTAGATTCGAGGAATTTGGAGATTAACTTGACGTTCCTGTCATTTCCTGACATTTCTTGCAGGAAATGGTGATCGACAAGGACGGCAACAAGAATATCCCCAGATACTTAGTGTACGACGTCGTCATGTATGACGGCCAGGACGTGAGCAAATTGCCGTTCCACCCCGACCGTTACGGCACCATAGAGAAGCAAATCATCGCGGGCAGGTTGAGGGCCATGAAAGAGGGAAGGCTGTTGAAGGAGCGGGAACCGTTCTCCGTGCGTCTCAAGTATTTCTGGGACGTGACGCAGAGCAAGAATCTGTTGGGCGAGAAATTCGCCAGTCAGCTGTCGCACGAGCCGGACGGGCTGATATTCCAGCCGGCCAAAGAGAAGTATTGCACCGGACCGGCGCCGGAGCTTTTGAAGTGGAAGCCGGTGTCGCTGAACTCGGTGGACTTCCGACTGAAGATCGTCACGGAGACGGGCGAGGGCATCTTACCACGTAAGGTCGGCCATCTTTACGTCGGGGGTCAGAAGATGCCGTACGGCATGATCAAGATGTCGAAGCAGATCAAGGATCTGGACAATGCGATCGTCGAGTGCAAGCTCGAGAACGGCCAGTGGGTCTTTATGCGTCAGAGGGTCGACAAGTCGTTTCCTAATTCGCACAACACCGCCGAATCCGTGTGCAAGAGTATCTTCAAGCCCGTCACGAAAGAGGTGCTCTTGGACTTTATCGAGAAACGTAGATTCGCGCGCGAGGACGTGTGCGTGAGACCCGACTCGGAGCTTATGCGGCCACCGGCTAAGAGACCCAGATGTATGAAAGATGCTGTATAAAAGACGTAGATAATACTAGATGCTCCATGAGCTTTCCGCATCGATGGGATCGCGTATGTAACTACACCCACACACATACATATACGAACGCATGTACGCACACACATACGTCGCAATTATTATATTTTTAATGAATTGTCCGGGACAGTTGTAGTTTCGGCATTTGAAAAAAAAAAAGGGACGTTCTAATAATAATGATGTATATTTATTACAGGCTCATTTCAGTTGTATTGAATCATGAGCCTCGTGTCAGGTGACCAAGATTTATAGTTATCAATGTATAAATCAAGACGAATCTTCGATATATATTTGACAAATTTTGTCCGACGGAGTGCGGAACTTGGCCGCGCTTCGTCATTACGGACTTTAGTGAAGGTTTGTTTGTTCATGAATTTCTCGCTATAGTCTGAATGCGCAATTGAGTTGGCATGATCTTCCGATGTTACGTATAATATATATATATAGATATATATATATATATCAAGACAAGAAATTATATTCATTTGCTTAGATAGATAGATAGAAGTGAATTCACAGAGCATGAGATGCGGCGGATAACTATCTTTACGAGAAGTACGGAGCTTCGTTTTCAGTTAGATCAATTGTATCCTTTAATAATAACTGAGATTAGCGTAATTATTATTATTATTATTATTATTATTATTACGGATTGATAAATTGAAGCAAAGAACAATTGTTGAATAAAGGATGTTTTTAACTACAACACTCGCGTCTCGTCATTATTTACGTTTTGTTGCCGAGCGGTAACAACAGAAGACCCAACGAGATCGCATCCTCACCTCTTCTCCCGTTGTCGATAGTATTTATTCATCGACGAGGTACCACTGAAACTCGAACAGTTTCCACGTAACTAACTCGTAAGTCTCGCAGTGTGATCAACTGCTTTTTCAGACCTTTGGGAGAGGGGCGGTAGAGAGAGGGACAAAGTTATTTAACGATTTTTAATCCTATTACAGATCGTAGCGTGATGCTGTGGTGCGTGAAAGATCTCGCGTCGAAAGATCGCAGATCCCTGCGCGTCAACATAGAGTACGATCACGCGACTTTGATACGCTGGTCGCCGGATGGAAAAGCGTTTATCATTCACAAAGCTATGGCGAACGCCATCGAGGTGTACAAAGTCGCGAAGAAGTCCGATGGTTTCCTGGCGTCTGCGACTAAGGCACTGGAGTTCCCTAAGGTATCATCGTGTTACGCCTATCCAAATAGACATATTTCGGTGCATCGTCTGCATCGTAATTGCTCTCAGAATTTGACAGAAAGTGTCACTTTCAGTCACTATTTTCGTATCCTTGAGAGGTCACTTTTTGTCATTTTTTTCTACCAAGAAGCAGTCACTGTTCCACTATTCCATGTTTTGTTGTCCCGTTGATTAGATAGCAGCGCTGAGCATATATTAAATGTCTGCATATTCAGAATTTCTGTCTATCTGAGTACATGCCTTACATTTACGCTTGTTCCCGCTCTCATTGGCGTATTCTTATCGTTATTAGCGACACACCGAGGACGTCGTCGGGATGGATATCGCGTGCACCGGGAAGTACATCATCACATGCAGTAAGGTGAACGATCTTATTGTATGGGACCTGAAAGGTCAGCCGCTGGCGACTGTGGAGCTGCATCTAGGATCGACTCATCGCGCTCGCATATCGCCCTGCGGCCGATTCATCGTCGCTTCTGGTATGCTAAGACATTTCAAGGATCGAAATTGCATTGTACATGTAAGTGATAATTACGAGAAGATACGAAGAATTAATACGATCATTTTCGCAAAAGGCTTCACGCCGGACGTGAACGTGTTTGAAGTGGTGTTCAAGCAAGGCGAGTTCAAACAGGTGGCGAAAGCCTTCGACCTCGCCGGGCACACGTCTGGAGTTCACGACTTCGGCTTCAGCGCCGACACCAGTCAGATGGCCACCGTGTCCAAGGACGGGACGTATCGTTTCTACGACACGAAAAGTAACGTACATGTATTAAAATCCCGACAAGATACCCAGTGGCTCTAAGGGCTCTCGCATACAGATTGACGTGATCGTAAACATGAGACGTAAATTTAAGCCGAAGAATCAATCTGGATAATGCTTTTATGCATTCTACGAGAAGATACTAACTGATCGCAAACAGTAATAGTTCTTAATATTATATACAACGTCATTATTAGTGATATTTGTGACGCAAATATTAAAAATAATATTTCTACACTATGATTTTAATATTTAGGAATATCACATCAAGTAACGGTTTAAAAACATTCATAAAATATTACGCTAAATGTTTACAAAATTCACAAAATCAACGTTTCAAAAAATTGATTTGATGTTTTTTGCTCACTGGGATTTGTTCTTCCAGCTTAAGTTTACTTATCATGTTTTACGCCATGGTTACACGCCAATTTTGTGTTCGGAAGCTTCAAGCGACAAGTATGAGATTCTAACGTGCGATATGCATTCGTCTCTTCGCAGTCGAGTTCGAAAAAGGAGAGGACCCGCACCTTTTAACGACCGGCACTTGGGACACCACGACTCCGACGAGTCTTGTTTTGTCACCGAACGGGGAGGTCCTGGTGATCGCGCACGGATCCTCCATTTCGTTCTACTCGACCATTACTGGCGTCTTGGATAACACCATAGAGGACCTCTTCATCGGTAATTCATACCAACGTCGTTATCGATGAGAAGAAATTTATCGCGTGACTTCATGCTTGCCCCTTTAATACTGTTGTGTAGGACCCATAACATGTTTGGCCTTCGAAGCTGCGGGCGAGTATTTGTTGGTTTCGGGCGACAAACACATCAAGATTTTCCGCAATGTCACCGGGTACCGAACCGCGATAGAGTCTGCCAAACGTAAACTGGAGCTGAGACAGACGCAGGCGACGAGGGAACGCCTTCAGAAAATCATTCACGATAACACGGAGTTCCTCACAAAAATGGGAGAAAAACGTCCATGACATGAATTCACACCCTTCTTTTTCATCGCTCCGTGGTGCGTCAAGATTGGTTAAAAATACTATGACATTCTTTCTTCTCCCGACAATGCTTTCTCCCTATATATCGTGTAAATATTATTAATATACAAACTTGAATATTTTCTTCAAATAAATATAATTTTCATATGCTCAATACTTTAAAACGTCCGATCTTTAATGAACTTTCATCGGTACCTCTCTTTACACAGAGATCTTCGGGATTTCTGTAGCTTTACAACAGTGCTCGGAAGTATCTGCACAAACGAGGCAATCTTCGAAGGCTACGCCTTCTAATATATATATGTAAATCCAGTGAGCAAGGAAACATTGATTACCGTCGCGCAAAAATAAAGTCAGTTTGCTCGAAAGTAAACGGAAGTCGCATCAACGGGTTTACATTGTGACATACACACGGATACTGTCTAAACAATGTTTATTGTTATCCTTGTACTTTTGACTACCATTTGCTCATGGAGTTAATTACAGCTTTCAGGGGGGAACGTACAACAAGTTGGCGTACACAAAGTTGAAACCGATGATTGCGCATTTTTCACGATTTTTTTTTCTCGCTCTCTACTATCGTTATCGTACTATTTTTTTTCCCTTCGTCTTATTTTTTTTTTTTAATGAGAAAACGCGATCCTCTATTAACAAACTACAAAAATTTCTACACATACAATAGATAACTATATACAAAATAGTATCCTTGGCATCGTGAGTCGCAAGTTTGGGCAATGGAACGCGCGATCGTCAACGCCCACGATCGCTCGCGCTCGAGAACACGATATTTTTTTTTTTAGCAATTCATTTTTAGAACAGGTGTTCCTGTGACACTTGCGGTGGACATACATAACAATGAGCGACGCGATTTGCTTGAAGAGAAGATGCCATGATCTTACCACACTTTTTCTAGATTTTTAGGCTACTAATTCTCGTTTATACCAAATGGAAACATTCAGGCTCGTATTACTTTAAAACTGTACATCTTTTTTCGAGCGTCTAATGCGTACGAAAAAGAAAACAATTTTATTGCTGTGACAAATGTAATGTTTCTCGTCATTCCCGGTGGAAAGCTCTGTCCAATCTTTACGAGGGAATGATCCTAATATAAATTCTTTCCTTTTTTTCACCTCATGTGTATGTTCGATTTTTGTTGCACACACACACACACACACACACATACACACGTCTAAGAAACGGTTTCGTGTTGCACCGGCTGCACTATAAAATCGCTAACAACGATATGAGAAAATTCTTGTTGAGTCTTGCGAATTTCGGTTAAAAGAAAAAAAAAAATACGATACAGATATCTTTGAAATCAAATATTAATGTAAATTCATCATTGGCATCACATTTATTACGTTACATGTTCATTGCGTAAATTATGCATCCTGTAAGTTCAACTAAAGCTATTGGTCTGCAAGAAAGAATTTTCACCGAAACACGTTCGGAAACACACTGAGGAAAAAAAAAGAAAACGACGGCTAGACTCAATTATAACGAGAATGCAATTTTATAGTAAATAATATTATAACTAATCGTAACTTATCTTTAAAGCAGCTTCGAGAGTGTTCTCACGCGAAACATATCTTTTCCCGGACACGTATTTGCGTAACGAACGGAAATGCGACATACAACTTCATGCTCGCGCTGCTTGTATTCTTCAGTAGAAATCTTCATATTTTTTTTTTTTAATGCGATGTTAACACATTCTGAACTTACTAGTAGTGATAAACGCCGGTTTATCAATATCTGGCACTTAATGGCAGATTGATGGTACTTCGAGGGTTATTGGGTGGCTGAATTTGTCTGTTCATGAAAAACTCGACGTGGTGACGCGAAAAAACTGCAACACAAAAAGGAGAGGGGAGACACTCTAACAATTATTGTGTGAACTGTCACCGGTTATTCGCCCAAGCATGGTTTCAAGTGCTAAACTCTTATCACTAATCAAAGATGCAACCATCACACGTTATCACGGACAGTGAAAAAAGTTATAAAACGGAGTCTTGATCACTTACTTTCGCGTCGGTCAAATCTTTTACCGTTTTTGTCTGATTTGTTAATTTCTTCTCTTCCCTTTCCTTCCCTTCCCTTCCTCTTAAGACTTTTTTTTTTTAATTCACTAAGGTCGCGTGCACGCACACGTGCGAGCGTGAAAAACCAAGATTATAATCTTACGTCGGTGCGCATCCTCTATACTATAATAAATAGACAATGCAATATCTATTTCTTCTCCTTGTCCGCTTCGGCGATTTCCTTCTTGACAGAAACTTTATTGTCGGATTTCTTGTCCTTCTCCATTTCCGCCGGTTCCTTCTTCACCTGGACTTTGTTATCACCCCACCTGGTGTCGGTTTTGAATTTGCTCTCCAACTCGGAACCGTTCATCTCTCCGCCGACTTTCTCGTCTTGAATTTCCACCACCTCTACCTTCCTCGCATCGCCTTGCATCATCTTCGCGGCTATGTGATACATATTCTTCACTGCGGTCAAGTAAGTATGGCATTCAGTCTGTAAAAAAGAAAGAAAAAAATACCAGGAAATAACTCCACGTTTATACTCGAGAAATCGGGAAATGCATAATATAGAAAAGTCAGCACACTCACAGAGACTTTTTTGAACTTTTCTTCCGTGCCTCGCAATTTGTCTTTGTACATCTTCAGATCTTCCGTAAGACCTTTAATACTATTGGCTTGCTTCGCAGATTTCTCATTGACTACGTTCAGCTCGTGCTGCAGCTCCATCATGCGATCCTCGGTGTCCAGACGCGCTTTCTCAGATCTTTTCAATTGACTCACGAGTTTCTCCACATCCAGCAAGGAGCCTTTGTATGTAACGATGCCTTCCGGAGCCATTTCTTCGTCGCTTCTCTCCAAAACGCAATCCTCCCTGCGTGCTCTCTTCGAAACCGGTCCGCTCCCGACAAATACGGGCAACAATTTTTTATTTCCTGTGAACGTGAAAAAATGCAATAAATCATCGGTCTGATTTGCGCAAGAAAGTAAAAGAGAAAGAAGCAAGATAGCAGGCTAGAGCACAAATGTTAGTTTTGATTTATATTGAAAATATGTTGAGATACATTACCGAGAGCAAGGGAACGCAATATATCTTCCTCGTTCTCCGCTTTGGTTGTATCGCCCCTATCCCCTTCTTTATCGTCCTTCTTCTCATCCTTGGAATCGTCTTCCTTCGACTTGTCCGTTAACTTGCGATAATGCAAGGAATCTCTCGTAACGACTTTTTGTACTAGCTTTCGGACCTGAGCTCTTGACAAATTCAATCCCAGGGTATAAATAAGTTCCTCAATGTCTTTATCAAATATATATCCACAGTGTGTCTGATCGAAGTATACAAATGATAGCAGAAGGTAAGGATCGTGTGTGTACAGCTTCGTTTTTCTCTTCTTCCCGTCCTTGTCTCTGTCCTTTTTACCATCTTTCATAGAATCATCGTCCTAATATTGTTAAAACGTAAATAATTATAACTTCTATATCATAAACTTATATATAACAGATACACACTGTGACTAATATCTAGTACAGCACATATTCTGTTATACCGAAGAAAGTAGTTTTACACAAAAGAAAGAGAAAATAAAAAGAATAAGTTCTTACGTCCGACTCGTCATCTTCATCCTCCTCCTCATCATCGTTCTTCTCCTTCTCTCTATCCTTGTCATCTGCCTTACTCTTCGCGTCTCTGTCATCCTTCTTATCTTTGATCTCTTCTCTCTTCTTGTCGTCCCGTTTCTCATCTTTCTTACTAGACTTCTTCTCATCCTCCTTTCTCTTATCGTCCTTCTTCTCATCTCTTTTATCATCTTTTTTATCCTTTTTCTTGTCTTCGTCTTTTTCCTTAGATTTTTCAGGAAGACTGCACAATGCACGATATATGCGGAAACCGAAATCCCGCGTTAACATCTCATTGAACAGCTCGGCAAAAAGAGATACTTCGAAGGAATGTTCCTGTTTAAACAAAAGATTCATATATGTATATATATATATAATACCTTTCTTGAGTCTCTCGAACAGTAATTTATAAAATAAAAGGAAACCTTGGTATCTTCTGGTCTGTAATCCAACAATACGCTCAATGACATAACTGTACAGTCGAATTTCCCACTCTTGGCCATTCTAGAAGGATGAACAATAATGTGTGATGAATCGGGCAAGGTGTACCTTTTCTCGAGTACGGCTCGTTCGCGTTCGTAAAGTTTCCTCTTGTCTTCGTCATGCTGCAAATAATTTGACGAATTAACAGAGATCTCAAAGCTCTGTAAAAAAAAAAAACACTTAAAAATATCACGTAATTGAGAGATATTCGTATAATATATACGGAGCGTCCGATGCAAGACGTGCCAAACCATATAAAACACATCAAACTGAAAAATAAGACCGATATCCATCTTGTAAAGTACCACACAAAATTTCGGGTTATTGACGAAAACGATAGGCGAATCAGCGCGCGCGACGCGATGGGCGGATCGTCTTTCCTCTTCTTGCAGTAACTATGATTTATTATCCAAGCCACTTCTCAGCAGACTTTAATAATGTTTGCCAATAGATCTCGAGCATCTTTTCAGCATTCAGATTGTAAGTAAATAAAGTACAAAGTGCCAAAACCGTGAAGATCGAAGCACCCCGCAAACATGGATCTCAACTGGATGTTTAACGGTGCGTTGCAAAGGCGATTTTTCCGAAAAAGACCATGCGTGCTTGGAACTCGTGTGCAGAAAGACGCTTCATTAGTAAAAATTACATTGCTTTAATCACGATTCGAATTTTGCACAGCCCATAAGCGTCGCTTCTCGACGTGCTTTGGTTCGAGGAAAGGTTTCAGCATCGTGAGATGATCGCCTCGTTTTTGCCACCTTTTCAGTCATTATACTGATGTTCACTTCTTTTTTGGCCAATAACTTTTGTCCTTGTCGCAATGTCAACAGAGACTTTCGCCGAAACAACTTGAAGATGACTTTAACTTCTTTCTCCGACGTCCCTCGCGCGTTTTTCCTCTCTCGGGAAAATCGTCGACATTTTTCTGTTCTTTATATCGTATCACCCACTTCCGTACGAAGTCTTCTGACTTATGGATATATTCAGCAGCAGCTTTATAAGTCATTTTAGGTCCTTTACTGTGAGTACACAAGAACGCTGCCTCGAAACGTTTAGCAGTTACGGCACGCTCATTTTAGAAATCACGTGTTCTTGTCACAATGGAAAGCAATACTGGCGTCTCTACAGCGCACAAAGCGCCTCACCTACTTTTCAACGAATGCCACAGTAGTAGAGTCTCTCCTAGTAGTTTCCTCTCGAAGCCGACGCTCTTGTGTGATAGACTATATGCTCGTTACTTACGTCTTTACTGTCGCGGAACTTCTTATCATCCTCTTCTTTCGACGGTGGCGAGACGTCTTCTTCGTTTTCGTCCGCCTCGTCCTGCCGTCCTTCTTCTTTGGCTTGCTCTGACTTTATAGTCTTCAGAAGTCTCGCCAGTAGTTGTGACTTCAGGCCTTTTGAGCTTAAATTGCGAGCCACCAATTCTTGACGCAAATCGTTCACCTGGAAGACAAAAGATACATTTGATAAAAAAATAAAAAATAAAGCAAAAAATAGTATATCAAGGTGTTGCTTTCTTTTATATTGATCTGGAGAAAGAGTTCGTTCTTTACCGGAGACATTCGATCAAGACGTTGGAAATACTCACATTCATCGATTTGGGATCTAGTTCAGAATAGTGCGTGGGATCCTTCTTCTCGGGCAGAGAATCATCCTGAAAGAAGAGAAGACACGTTAGTGAGGCGGAAGTAAAGAAGCCAGAGAGAAAACTACAAAACAGAAGCAGCCCCTATAACGAAACGAAACCACTCCCTCCTTCATTCTTTCATCATCACTCTCTACTTTTTTCAACACTCTCTCACATCGTAACGATGTACGCATATATCTTCATTCACGATGACCTTCAAGTATGACTCAAGTAACTGCTAGAATCTCATAGTGTCCTGGCTCTGGTGTCTGTGTGATCGATAGGTCATGGATAATATCAATAATGTTGTAGTATATAACGATGATTAAATGAGGATTTTTTGAATGATTTCTCAATGTTGGTGAAGGTTTCAGGAAAGGGAATGGCTCAGCTGCGCTCTTGCTCCGAGCTAGGCTTGCTTGCTTCTCTTGTTAATGCAATGTGACTGCCATTGGCTAAGGGAGCGATACATTACCCGTCGATCCTCGTTTGCGACATTAAATAAGCGTTTCAAGAGTTCTCGTTAACTTACACATAGAGAATAATAAAGAGGCCTTAAATACATAAGCTACCATGTATGTACATTCGGATTTTGCCTTATTAAGTTTTATATATATATATATATATAAGCTAGGTCTTGCAACATCGAGCGCAGGACTTGTTCCATAAAATAAGACGCCTCAGTTTACGGAAAAAGTCCAACAGACATTAAAGTCGCCCACTAATGACACAAGTGTAATCGTTCTCGGGGTAATTTACCGTCGTCTAACGACGCCAACCATATACCCCGTTAATGGGACCTAACGTACCTAGACAGCGAATTTCTTTTTGTTTTTTTTTTTAACCGACGGCGAAAGCGATCTGTCGTATAAGAGGTAACAAAGGCGAGATTACAATGCCCGATAGAGATCAACCTACTGATAGGATCGATGGACAAGTATAGCCTATTGAAAATCCAGTTTAGTAATGGGGGAAACAGTGGAACACGAATATATAATAATAATAATAATAATAATGTAATAAAAAGATATGTAAAGTAATATATATATATATATATATATATATATGGGATGGTGATTGGCAGTGCCTTTTGATCAGCGACGGCAGCCTCATCAGTCTCATTGGCGACATCCAGGTCGTCGGTGTTAGAGGCGGCACGCAGTAACTTTCGCTCCAGTTGTCTCTTATAGCTGAGTTGCAAGCCGTCCCATTCCAATCTGGTAGGCACACAGCTCCAAACATCTGGGAGAAATAGTATGACGGTTTCAACGCGAGACGGTACCACTCGCCCGGACTTGTGGGTCGTTTCTGCGCGTCTGTAGTAGAGTTCCAGGAAGCGGTACCTGTGCCGCAAGGAAAAACAATACCCAAACGTCAACTCAAGGTTAGATGCCGCTTAGCTTGTTGCCTTATATGCTAAGTGTGTTCGCTCGCTTGTTCGTAAAGCCCACGCACTGCATACAAAGCCACGTGTGTATCGGCGCACAACGTAGAATAGACCATTTGAGTAAGCACAACTGAGGTGGGTATCACAATATCATATATGATAAGAATAATAATAATAACAAGTGATGGCTTGTCTGCCGCGACTCTGTCCGTAAATGTCATCGTCGGAGGGGGGGTGTGCTCGAGACCGGGATCCAGTGCAGCAATCTCCGTTGGTCGCTCATGTGTTTTGAGCTAATACATACCTCCCGCCTCCACTGCAGAGAGAGAGGGAGACTGTGCTACAACCTTAGCTTATCAAGTCAGAACTGATATTAGAAGTTACTCTCCGTCGTGATCATCATCGGTGGATAAGCACGCCTACCGGATGGTACCTTAACTCTATGGAACTTAACGCCATAGTCGTTCTATCATGATCTCTTTCTTTTTTCTTTCTTTCTTTCTCTTTTACAGTAACTTGTCCTTCCACGTCGTAGGAGACAATTCTAGAAAACCCGTCTAACCCTGGACGATAAGAAAAAAAAAAAGATGGAACTTTTTAAGAGATGAAAAGTAACCGCAATCATGACCTTCGCGTGACGTTTACGAAAACTACATCGTCGGAAATGCAAGATGTGCAAGTGGTAACGAGAAATTCAGCGATATCACACCGCTCTTTTCTCCTTTTTCCTTTTCGTAACGAATCGGAGCTTCAGGATTAAAAAAAAAACTGTCTACAAAAGTGCTCCGGACGTTGAACGAAAGGTATATATTACTACTTGAAAAAGCGTACCACTGTGTGCAGCTGGACAAATCTATGCCGGTAAGCGCTTTACAGGTCCTCACAGCCGTCCGAATCAACACGGAGGGATCCTTCTCGGGATTGGGTCCGTCTAAAGAGGGGCTCCACGGGCCGCCTATGGCCATCGTCTCATTTTTGCCCCGCAAGCCTACTAAGAAATTTATAAGGCGCGTCGGATGAACGTAATCGCGATCGGGATCTCTGTCTTCGGAAACGCCGCAACACCTTTTGTATATCTCTTCCATGGCGGGCATAGATATGAGCATAACCTAAAAACCAATTAAGGAATATTCAGTGAGATCAATTCGTCGCTTGCTCGCGCGACTACAATGCAAAACACGTATGTATATATGCGTATATGTATATGCCAATTCCCTCCTCGCGCCAACAATTAATTGTTGGCGCGCCAGCTGAAATTTTTTTACACATATCGCCTCTCTCTCTCTCTCTCTCTCCCCTACAATCGCACGATCGCAACAACAACGCACAACTTTTAACAGACCTTTGCAGAAAACAGATAATCCGCATCAGAGGGTTCTAGTACTGCTGTATTTTCGTTACAAGGATCGACGTCTTTATGCATAACATGGAAAGAGCACGGTTTATTAAGTGTAAATGGCATGTGCGGCGGAAAGGCGTCTACCCATCTGAAGTTAGTGGAAAAGAAGTCGCTAGGAATGTACATATTTTGATAGCGTCTTCTAATCTCAAGAACGTCTGCTTCGGGCCTGTGATATAATAATAAGCAGCAATAAAACATCGCCGACAATCTGGTCGAATGGGAAGTAAATTGCATGCGCACGCATACTTACAGATCGAGCGCTATTTTCGGTATTTGCACCATGTAACGCGGCACGACCCTCGTGCGCCGACGGGGCCTCGGCGATTTGCTTCTTCGCGTTCGCGACGGGCTTCGGTCCTCCTTCTTCTCGCGTTCCCTTATTCTCTCCTCGCGGCGACGCTTCCTCTCAATATCTTCGTCGTCGTTCCTCCGCTCGCGAGGAGACCTCTCTCTCACTCTACCGACCTTGTTGCGGTTGCTGGTAGTATTGGAATTTGTTGTACTCGTTGTAAACCTACTGATAACGTAACATCACGTTGAGAAAATCTCACCGTGGCGCGCAGAAGATATTTCAGCTCGTAAATTGAAAAACTTGATCACAGCAAGGCCGAGATATCTCGTGAATCGATGTTGGTTTTTTGCTTGTTTACTAACGTTACCAGTCTTTATTTATTTATATCTATATTATTCGTATTGCGTAATCTAGTTCAGCGCTCAGAATTACTTGCACTGCTCTCACCTGCCCCAAGCTAAACGATCGATAGTCGCAATACATAACTTCAGGAACGACAAATCTCCAGAGCCTGCGAGGCGCTCCTTAATTACTGAGAAGTTCTTATCGAAACTACCGTTATTGTAATTGTAATAATCCGATTACGTTGATAATATGTAGAAGTAACGCGTTACATTAAGCGTCGCATAACCCAAAGGAGGAACGTGAGAGGCAAGAGGAAGAAAGGCAGGAGCTGCCCTTGAAAATCTTCTCGAAAATGTAAATTATTCCGAGTACCGATCCAACTTAATTTCTGTGAATAGGTATGTTACGTCACCTGTTATTAGGATTTTCAGTGGGCGGAGGCACAGCGTTGTAAGTGCCCGATGTCTTATTCGGCTGCTGCTGTTGTTGCTGTTGCTGGCGATTCGGCTGATTAGTTTGCTGAGTGCTCGCGCTGTTGTTATTATTGCCCATAGCGAGCACTTGTATCCTAGTAGCGATCCATTTGAACGGCATAGAAGGATTGTATGACGCTTCCACGAGTACACGGTCCCCCACCACGGGAGTGGAGCCTTTCACGCACGCACTGGAAGGAAAAGACGTTTAGTGAAGTGCAAGGAAGAGAGATGAGCGCAGAACGTTCGCTTGTGTCCCTTTCTCTCTTTCTCTCTCTCTCTCTCTCTCTCTCTACCTATTTTGGAAAAATACATCCTCATCCACAAAGCCAAAGCTGTCGTGTACTCTGGTGACAGTGCCAGTGAAGACTCTCTGCTTTGTAGACGACGAGGATACATTCTGTTGCACCTGCTGCGGGACACCGGCTACGGAAGGTTGAAAAGCATTTGTGTTCAATGCTCGCGGCGTTGGATAAGAAACTGTGGCAACTTGTGGGTATAGCTGACCAGGCATACCGGATGGTAAATTCGAGCCAAGGGTAGCCATTGACGCCATGGTAATGTTGGGCTGTGGGAAACACACAGACTGATTCAAATTAATCTTGCGACAGGCGATCGATCTCATCGTTAGCTATGCGGGGACAAACTGTAAAATTCACCTGTTGCAATCCTAGACTTTGTTGATAGACCTGTTGGGTTTGCTGCTGGTACTGTACCATAGGCTGTCCTCCGATACTACCCATGGCTTGACCAAGCATAGGTTGTTGGATATTTTGTATACCTTGTCCTTCCACAAACACAGCCAAGAGTTATTACAGTTAAAACATTAGGTCTATTCTTTGTCACCGAACTGGTATGCACTTTTTGCGACTTAAGGAGAAACAAATATACAGCTGTGACTTTATATGGTAAAAATAAAAAGGGGAACAGAACTAGCTGTGCAGCTGGTTCAGCCATAAAGAACAGACCTGCTAAGTTGCGGTAACAAGTATCAACGGCTTATATAAAAAAAAAAAAAAAAAAAATACTAAGGAACAGAATAATTCTGAATACTACGTCAGTTCAAAGATAAATTGCACGGAACTTGACGAGAGAATGACTTCGAGAGATCGGATGAACGGAAAAAGTAAAAACCAAAATCTTGCAAGATACAACTAATGATAACGCACACAGAAGATAATGCCGACAATGGGAAGCGAGAGCCGGCGAAAATTAAAGAACACACAATGGTTACTGCGAACATCGCCTCGTCCGAATGATAGTGCATTTTATCTCAAGGGTCATCAACGGGCAACCGCAAGACGAATCATGACCGATCACGAGCGAGACGTCGTGCGTGGCGTAAACGCGCATGCAGCTTGCATAACAGAACGGTCCACGAGGAGTATCGTCGCGAACGAGCGCTCGTTGACTCGCCGCGGCGGAGAATTTCGCAACATTGTCCGCATTGCGCGCTGCACACGAGACGACGACGACGACAACGACGATGACGACGACGAGGTTTCGTCCGCCGTTCGCGCGAAAAGCCTATTGCTCACCTGCATTGCGGACCCACGGCGGGTTCTTGCCGCCGCCGAACGGAGACAGATTGCTCATTCTGCGTGAACCTACGGCCTATGTGACTTAACAAATAAACGCGCGTACGTAAAAGAGACAGGATCTGGACAGACTCGCGTATAGCGTCCTTCATTCGGGAGCCATGTTTTCGTACGTACTATGCAAAGCGAGTCTCGTGCTCGTTCGGGCGAGTTCGTCGAGTGTTTCCGACGACGTACACTAGGTGGTCTGTTCTTTTCGGCTGCGCTGCGGCCGAACTGTTACGATGCCGCTACGTTCTCAGCGGAAAAGTTTACGAAGGTTGGTATTCTTAGCAGAATTTTATATTTAAGGCCGTCTTAAGTTGATTTTCAGATGTACGGGCTCATTTCATTGGCTACGAAGCATCCGAAGATAAACTTAAAACGATCTTAAATATAAGATCTGACTATCAGCCAAAGCCGCTTTGTAATCATTGTCCATGGTTGGAGTATTCTTTCAGATTTTCTGTAAATCTGGGAGAACGCACCAATCGGAAGCAATTATCACAAAGCGTTTACTAAATTGTTTTTTTTTTCTACTGAACTGATGCGATAAGTTGGAGCGAGACAAAATATACTTGTTTCACTCTAACTTATCGCAGCGGTGTTCATCACCGGTGCAGCTAAAAAGAACAGGCCAGAGGTGTCGCTCAAGTCGTTTGATAAAATGGCGGAAATTCTCTCGAGGGAGCTGAGTCGTACGAATTTCTGCGATCTTCGACTGCAAGCAATGGCTCTTCAGGTGCGGTTCAAAGCTTGGTAATTATGAACTCATTCGGGAGAAAACGTTTCGTAAAGATAAAGAGGCTCTGTTCGACTCGTCGTTCATCGGCTGCTCCTTTTAGCTGCACTTTCCGTATTCCCTAGGATGTTTCCTCTCTCTCCTCCGTTAAGGTCGGTATTCACAGTTAGATCTTATATTTACGACCATCGGCTACGAAGCATCTGAAGATAAATTTAAGACGGTCTTAAATATAACCTAACCGAACGCGCTTGCAAACAGAAACTGCCACTTGAATTCCAACCATTGCACAGAGTAGACGAATCTCACGTTCCGTCTGACGGAGTACTTTACGATCAAGAAACACGGGTATGTCGGTTTACCGTACCTACGTCAGTTTCGGTATTCTTCCTCCACACGAATCAGAAGAAAATTAACTCAAAATTCTTTCAATCTCCTCTGTTTTTAATTTCTATTTGACTGAGTATTTTATTATCAATATACTTGGGAAAAATGATCATATATGATTACATATAATTATACAAAATCATATATGAATTTTGCCTACTATGTAGTTACATATATATAATCACAGATGTCCATACGAAAAAAATTATGTTACGTCATTTAATTAAATGTCGATATCATGCGCTGTCAGAAGCACAAATAGCCGTAAGCGCTTACTTCAATTATATTTGCATATAATTTGTAAACAACAGTGTTTTTTTTCCCCATGAATATATAATTATATATAGTCATATATGAGCAAATTTCATATACGATCTTTTTTTCCGCGGGTAAACACGAATAGATGATTAGCAGCCACGCACAGAAAGAAACGCAACGACTGTGAAGTCAATTGCGGATATCCGAGATAAGAAGTTCCCATGACCAACCGACCGACGAAACTCCCGTCGGTCCCGTTTATCTCGCTCACTTTTCAGGGGTCCGCACACATAGCCGAAATTGCCACTGTCGCGCGATGACGCTCGGTCGCACACGGGACACACAAATCTGATATTATAGTCGAACCGACTTTATCCTATCGTTTCTAGCACGGCCGCCACCGACGACTCTAGCAAGACATTAGCACGTGCCTCACGTGCGGAAAGGCGTCATCGCGTCTCCTTATCTCGGCGCCACGCGACCGCCTCGTCGCTCGATTCTATTTACGAACAATAAGCACGATGCTCCTATCACGCCACAGCCCGCCCGACTAGCGCTGCCCCAGTTTCACACTTTGTCAATAATGATCGCCTCGGAAGTACCAAACAACTGCGGTCGCTCGCTCGCTCGCACTTTAAATGCAGAAACGCATCCCCGTGTTAATGCGCGACGCGGCGGCGGTGTCGACTCGGTTGCTGTCGTCGATTCCGCTCTAATAATACATTTGTTTACGCCGACGATCTCACTTAAAGTGTGTACGCACAAGCAAGCTGAGACGCGTCGCGGTCACTTCGACAACACGATGATATCGACGTCGTGTCTGCATTTCCGCAGAAAACGCGGTAAGGATGATAGCTCGGGAAGTTTTCAATATAAGATCTGAATACCAGCTAGTATTACGTTGTGTCTCTTCTCGTTCTTTTTATTTCCACACAACATACTTTATCCGGGGACGTCCTACGTTCTAAGGATGCCCACAGGACGTCCCCGGATAAAGTGCGCTGTGTGGGAATTGATTCTTTCACAATACTTTGGCAGAAATGTTTTCGAAGAAGGTGAAAACGAGTAAAATCATAGTGAAACACAAGTATGTTTAATTAGAAGCTCACGCACGTATAGATCTGGTGATACCAACTAATATTGTAAAGCAGTTCGCACTGGAGAGCAATATCAAACGGTATCGTCGGCGGCTTTCTTTTTTCTACGCGTTCTAACAGGTTGCAGAGAGACGATATGCATGTAGCTCAATTCTCGCTCTCTTCGTTGTTCCTCGAAACTGATCTTGTTTAAGAGAAAAGGGCCGGTATTCATCATACACATAGCGCCAAGCGGCGCCAGGAATACGATGGCGATCACTGAAATCCTCACCACGTCCAAAGCCAATTCGATTTTCGCGGGGTCGCCTTCATGCCTAGCGCGTTCAAACGCCATCGGCGCCAACGCTGCCTGAATTTCAAATTCAAAACGTTAACATTAGCGATACTTCTTAATTTATGAGTGGCACACGGTAAAATTCGCGAATCCAATGTAATTTTGAGGGAAACATGACGTAAGATTTGTTTTTACCTGTAGCGTTCCCTTCGGTACCCAAGATATGGCAACGAAGAGACGTTCTTTCCATGTAAAAGGCATCCTCAGCGTCGTTAGAAAGGCCGTAGTACTGCGCGTCTGAAGGAATAAAATTGTGTGTGAAATGTACAGCGTATGTGAAAACACACATAAATTCCCACAAAATTCGCAAAAATTATAAATCAAATAATTATCACATTTATCAAGTTCCATATCGTGTAACGTTTTTGGTAGCAGCGTGAATTGAAAGCCGCGTAAAAATGGTCCGTGTTAAATTATTTCTCATAATAGTTCTTATATAATCGAAATCATATGTATATTATATATCATTTATTATCGTACAAAATGTATTATATAAATTACTTATTATTATTTATTATTATAAATTTACCAATACTCCCACGAGAGTACAAGCGAGATATATTCCGAATCTAGATACAACCCAGTTTCGGAAATCAATGTCGGCACCGATCACTCCTCCTAAGATCGGCTGCACAAAGTACCATAGGAAAAAAAATGTTTTGCGATAAGGCGTCACCTGAAACATAAAAAGAATAAACAAAATCACTCACTTCCCTTTCATGGAACATATCAATAAAACTAATACGTGGAGTGATATATATATATATAATTTTTTTTTTTTTTCTGAAGTATATCTAAGTTTTCTTATTAATTGGTTTATTTGCTAAGAGTAAAATTTTATTTCGCCGTATATTTAAACAAACGTCTCATTTCTGTCAAGTAAACCTTACATTTGACAAATAAATTCCTAAGTCTTTTTTCCTCGGTGTATAATAGGTAAACTTCAATGCATGTATTTCGATGAACAGCGCATTCATTATTGATATCATACGATGTATCCGTGGATACTTACGTCGTAGGAAACCGATAAGATTCTCCATCCGTTAATGGCTATGAACGATAATATAATGGTAGCGAGATACCCTCCACCTGTAACCGCCAGTCTCGACGCTGCCGTGGTGCACATTAAAGATGCGAAAATTAAACCGCAAATTCGGTACCACATTGCGTATTTCTGTGGTGGTGATGTGCAACATAAAAATATAACGTAAATAATAAATCGTACATAGAACGCTCATCCCTCAGACACACGACTTTTTGCTTTTCATTCGGCGAGAGGAAACATTTCCTTCAAAATATCTTCACCGAACGAGAAGTGCAAAATTCACGACGAAATCGCGATGATTGTTCCTTTCTGTATTCCACATAACGAAATTAGAAATGATATCTGTGTAACAGATATTAATCGGTCATACGTGCAATTTTAGTAGGCTGTAATAAGCCATTTGATTTCGTCTAATTTCATAGCACACGCGAGCGATATTTTAATAAAGCGCCGTGGGAAGGCGTTAATAAGTCTGCTCTTGTTAGTTCAAATCACACGAACGTGCACTCGCACTCGCACGTGACCCGAATTTCGCGTACTCCTGGACGCGGGGAAATGAATAAAGTACCTACGTGATTGCGATGAGGGAAAAAGGCCAGGGCGAAGCCCAAGATAATTCCCACTATGACTCCCAGGAGGAAATCTCGAAACCCGCCGGGGATATAGGACCACCATTCTGTTCTTCTGTCATCTAGGAAGATATATGGCTCACTTTATGGAAAGCTCTCTGTACGTTTTAGGCCTTTTTATGTTTGCTCGTTACCACCTGAAGGTGCTTAGTGTCACAAAACGCGCTAATGCATTACGGTTATGGAAGAGTTGTTGCTCTTATTTAAGCTCCGTATATTTGATAAAATATCGACATATGCATTGTTTTTCACGAGACACGTGAATTACTTTTGCTTTTCACCAATTATTCCGTCCCTGGAACGGCGGAATATAGTTACAAAATAACATAAAAATAATTGCGCATCTTTATTCTGGAAAGTTTCACCCGTGAAAGTTTAAACATTTTTCCTATATGTCGCTCGCTCGAGAGATTAAAATCAAGAATCATCGGGTTCTAGCGTGTCGTCACGATGCTTCGCGATTTTCTCACGATCCTTGCGTACCGTTGCTAAAAACGAAAGAGAAGCAAATGGAGAACAGGGACACGATATGCACGTCGTCGATAGAAGCCGCCGTGCATAGTAAGCTGGCTAATCCTTTGTCTTCTCCGTAACCGCGTTCAGCTAAGGCGAGTATGCAGTTGACCGTCACTACGGGGGACATGCAAGCGACGATCGTCCTTGAAAAGAACTTATTATTGCGTAAATCTTCCTTACGCGTTTGTGTATGCGACAGAGCGAAAATTCGAATTAATAATCTATCTAATAATTAATGGATCTTTCAGCTTTGAGCAGGTTAATTTAACGCTGATGATATATTGTATGTGTTTGATGTATTTGATGTGCCATGATATATACATATATATATATATATATATATGTGTTTGATGTGTTTGATGTGCTATGATATATGTGTTTCGAGTGGAGTGAGTCACTTATTAACATGGATCGTTAATGCCACTCACCCCGTCATGAAGGACCAATCCCACGGATATTCGAGGAGGTATCTGCACAAGACGCTGACCACCAGCACCTCGACGGAGCACGGGACAAGCGCCAGGATCATCACGAACATCGGATGCGCCCTCAGAGCAGTTGTCGTCAGCTGGAGGCCAGCACGTACCATGATGAAGGTCAGGCAGAAGGTCCTAATCTTGGAGGTCGTGCCCGGCCCGAGCTCGTCGTGTATATTGTAGACGTCGGTGTTGCGCAATATTATGCCGGCTAGTAGCATGCCGAAGATGGGCGGTAGATGCAAGTAGGGAATGTAAGTGAGGCTCCAGCCGAGCGCATAGGAGAAAACGACCAAGATGAGAAGGCCGAAGATGCTGCCACCGGGTAACACTATGTCGCCCAGCAGGAAATACAAAACAGCCCAGGCCAGGAGAATCAAGCCGGTCGTGGTCGCGAGCCAGAAGAGATCCGCCCAAGTCAGCTGCAGGTCGAAGCACGCGGAGATCACGTCGGTCACGATGATTTCCCGCAACACCGGGTTGCAGAAGGTCGCACGGTGGCAGCAGGTGTTATCATCCCAGTCCTCGTCCGTCTCATTCGCTACTTGGCTCAGTCTAGGACGATGATTGACGGAGTGTTAATTTTATTGTTCGGTGTGTTGGAACGAAATGTCGAAGTATCTTTTTATTCGAGAGTATGGTGTAAGGAATGTCTTGGCACGCGTTTTCTCGCTTCTGACGTCATTAAACAGCAGGACAGTCGCGGCTGATTACTCAGAAGCCTTTAGGATTTCGTAGCGATGAGTTGGGGAATTAATTAATTGCCGCTTCGCTCACCTCTCTCGTGTATCAAATGACACTCGCGCAACCGTGGAAGTGGATGCAATTGGTAGATCCTTAGAAACAGGTTGCATAGGACACGATAAAGGCCGCTTTATCTACTCGTAACGACGCGACTACGTTCAGCAGAAGCCGGTCTTGAAGTTAAATTCGTTGTTGATTATTATGTTGTAATGTAAAAGGAATCGTCCACATTATTGTCATAATGAAGTTTAGCGTTGTCACAAATTCGCCTAGGAAAGATGCGTAAATGCGTGCGGATGTGACGCGCGGAATGTTAACTAACTTCGCGTCACACCTAAAGAGATACATTCATTGTGATTATTTCATTTTAAATCCTAACAAACTTTACCTTACGAAGGTAAACAAAATACGCCAAATACTTAAAAATATGCAAATATGTATTCAAGTAATATTGATCAAAAACAGAGAGGGAATCGGTTAAAATCGTCGAGTAAAATTCGTTGTTTCTGTCCTCAGAAGTCAAAAGTAATTCTTTAAATTTTTTAATTTCTCCTTGGCATTTTGTCGGAGGATCGCATTTTTATGTTAAAATAAACCTAAGATGGACGCTGTTAATGCTTCGATTGAAGAATTCACATTAATCTTGCCGTTGTATTGCCGGATAAATTTGAATATAATAATAAATGGACGTGTGTAACGAATTGCCGAAGGGAAATTGCATTTCATCGATTTGTTCGCAGGTGCATCACGTGCCGCCGAGTGTTTTGGAATCGTCCTGGACCAGCTTCCGGTTACTCTTTCGTACGCGGCGCTGCAATCTCATCTCTAAATGCAAATAGAAGCTATTACCGGCGATGTACCCGCATTTAATTTATTCCATAATCGAGACGTTTTCGTGGAATGTTCGCATTTCTACCTAAGCGGTGCCCTACGGAAATATCCTTCTCGATGACGAGGGGAGGTCATCGAGTCGGTCCGCCCGAAGGAGAAGCCCCGGTAAGAGCGGGACATGATAGACACTGCGACAGGCGAATGAGAAAGTGGGAGAAAACGAGGGAGGCTTTAAAAGGGGCAGCCGACTGTTCGGAGGGCTTCAAAGGATTCCGCGGATATTGAATAATTCCAGGTACGCGCCGTCTTATGAAATATTCCCGGTTAAAGCATAACTTTACGTCCGACCGGCCGGGATACCGCGTTTCGTCGTCGCGAAGCAATTACGACCGGCGGCCGAATGATCGCGCGTTTGCGGTTTTTCCTTTCGCTCACGACGATCATTCTTTCGTGCGTTTTGAGAGTTTGATTTTTATCGTCTCGTCTCCGCGCTAAATGCACGGCTTTATTACTTAGAGCGAAATAACCGCCGTGTCGAAGGTTCACCGTCAACGTAACTTTAAAGGGTCGCAATTTTTCACGGCCGGCAGTAATTTCGAGAAATTGTTACGAAAATCCTGCGGTAAGAAAAATAGCGCGCTCGCCTCTCATCCGCGCGAGAGTGTCGCGCAGGAAGTAGGTTTTAGTGCCTGAAATCGAGTTACCTCTTTATGTAGGTCGCTTATGATCGTATCGCGAACTTTTGGAGCCTCCGAAATTCGATGTGTCACTGGAGGACGACGGCTGAATGGAGAACGAAGCACAGCTCGCGGCTGAGAGAGCAAGAATTAGTAAACGAAGAGCCTGAAACCGTCAGTTTTTTTCGCCTCAGCTTGCGGCACGCAAGGTAACGTCTCGCAGCCGAAGTTCTCCGTCATCGTGGCCCACTTCCACTTTTTCGGATCGTGCGTACGGTGAGTCCGCTCTATTGACCACTTCTATCGGGGGGGATCAGCGTATGTATGTTGTGTGTTCTCTTCTCTTACAGATTTGTTTCTTTCGCTTTAATTCACTTAGAACTACTCGTCTCTCGACAGAAGATTTCTCTGAAGTTGATTATCATGATTTTTTTCTTAATATAGAACTTTCAATACAGCCACGAATAACTCTGAAATTAAATTAATAATAATAATTAATTAAAATTTCATTCAAATGAAATGCACCTTGATTTAAGTAAATATAAGCTGAAGTTTCGGCCCGCCTTTGTTTCATATGGTTTCATGAAGATTTCCCGATGTTCCTTCATTGATAATCCAAGAAATTATTGAGGTATTTGGGTCCGTGATAATATTGTTAGAAAGGCGATGGTTAATACAACACGAAGAAATCCGCAAAAATATTTATAAACATGATGAAACACTCACAATATACAGCTTTGACATTCTTGCAAGAGAATGCCAATCAAACTTACATTACTGATGTTTAAAAATTCACAAAGAGATAATCGTTTCACGTTTTGATATACAATACTTTCGGCTGGGATTGACTCACGACTTATTTCGAGCCCCTTCGTCCGAAAAACCCATGAAAAGAATCGGTTGTATCAACGGTCGGCAAAGCTTAACTGTTCACAAAACTAACTTGGCGATCTTTGCGCGCGCGCCAATAACGTCACCTATTTCCTCCCCTTACGGTCCTCACCGATTCTCTCCCCCTCCTCCCTCCCTTTGCACCTATCCCCTCGTTTCTCTCCTACGCGCGCATTCTCTCAACCCCTCTTGCCCCATTTACCCTCTCCAGTGCCCGCGGTTCGCCTCCGCTTCCACCCCCGTGAGAATATTCAGTTTGTGAGCGATGCTCGCCGCGATCGTGCCGAAATTTTGATTGGATCCGTTCTCTCAGCTTAGTCACCACGGAAACGATTGTGGCGGAGAGCTCGCTCTGATTCTTCGCGTGAAATTTCTTCGCGTTCGCGACGTGAATGCGTACGTACGTATCGTAGAAAAAAAAAAAGAAACACGTACATCGGAGAGGGTGTGAATCGCTTCCTGAGATTCTCGTGCGCGCGATCTGTGTGGTGGAATAACATCGACTCTCGACGCTTCGGATTCGCGCGTGGTAAGTTCTTCCCATCTGAGAAAACAGTTTTCCTTAGGAGACAGAAACCGCGTAATCAGATGTAGAATTTTTTTAGTAGACCGAATAATATTCGCGTGTTATTATTGTTGCACGAATTGCGAAATTTTATCGAATAGCGGATTGCGGAGAGCATTGTTTACTTCGCGATTTTCCATCCCTTACGAAGTATCCAGCGGATTAAATCACTCAAAATTAAAGCCCTCGTTTTTCTATAAATTCGACTCACGATTAATTGAATGAAATATTTTTCCCTGCAATTTCAAAGCACGATTTCTCTCTCTCTCTCTCTCTCTCTCTCTCTCTCTCTCTCTTTCGAAACACATTATAATAGACTAAACGGTATCGATATAAAAGAGGGTGGGAGCAAAATTTGTGTATGTGCAAAAATTCCAGAGAGCAATTTTGCCAATTTTATGCAATCTAAAACACTGCAATTTCCACGGTCGCTTTTAATCGGCCGTTCCGCTCGTTAACGATCCAACATAGTGATTGGTTCGGTAAACAAAGAGACAACGAAGATAAAGTTGCGCGGCGCGTAAATATAATTAATAGCGAGCGCGGTTGTTAGCGGGGATAAGCAAACACGGTGCTCCACTTTAACGCTGTTAATTCGTCGCAATTGCAAAAACGCACATTGCATTATTCCTCCCGGTTTTTAGGACGCTTTTCGCGAACGCAGAACGCAGAATCGTTTGTTGGCGCGCTGGAACGCATGACGGTGTGTGTGTGTGTGTGTGTGTGTTACGCGACCATCGCGCTTCGCTACTGGTTTACGTAGCTCCTCGGCGCGTCTAAACTGTTACGGCAGATGCAGTATGCATGAGTTCGGGGAAAAAGGTATCCAGCTGCGGCTTAAAGCTTTTCGAGCTTTCTCTCAAGACGTTACGTTTCCCCTACATATTAAGGATAGTCGCGTTAAAACGCCAAGTAAATCCATCACGAGACATCAGGAATACTCGCCAAGTAACTGGCCAAGAAACAATAGTCAATATTTTTTGGACAGTTTCCGAACAATTAATGTCTAATTCATTCAAGCCTGCGAAAACTGTCCGGTTTCTGTCCAGCGACCGGTTTTTCCCTAACATTTTTTTACTCGGATAGCTCCGAGCGACGCACGAAGCGCGCGTGTTCGCACGCATACCGACATACGTATCGCGCGTTTACCTCCGCTGACATTCCGATACGTTTCGGCAGTGTTAAAATTCCGCCATACGATCGTAACGATCGCAACGACGACGATCGTGCGCGCAACCTTCGCAACCAATTGCCGTGCACGATAGCCCAGACAATCATCGTGACATCATTAATGGATCGGTGAAGACGGAAGTGGTAATGAACGGGACCGCCGAGGTCTCGTAATTAGCTCGCTTA